ATTTGAATAATTTTGATAGACAAAATTCAGCAGGCAACTTGGAAACCGAAATCCAAAATCACTGAGTATTCGAAGTCTTGTGTGATATTTCCAAATTCAGTGTTTAAGTGAAATGAAAATATGACAAGCTGATGAAGAAAATAAGACAACGAAATTTTTTTTCGGACGTTTGACTTTTGAAAAAAAATCACTTGAAAAATAAATTCAAAGCAACACGGTTCGTCAGTATGTCAAAATATAAAATAAAATGCAAAAGGAGTAATCCGTGTCACGAGCGTAGCGGGGTCACTATTCAGAAAAAAAATTGCACGATATGTCAATTCTGTGTCCTAAAAATTGGCGGCAAGATGGCGGCCTGACGTGCATGTCAACCAATCCGTGTGAATGGCCATTTGACAGGCGAATGCTAATGACATTCAACGTGAGACTCGATTTAACTTTTGCAAGTTCTAGAGCCTTGTAATAATGGAACATATGTATATGATGGGACGCAGTTATTTTTATGTATTTTTTGCGACGCAATATGTTGAATTTCGGTGAAATTTTGCTTTCACAGAAACCATTAGTTGGATGGCACCCGAAAATGGAATTCGTTGAGCTTTTACATTATACTGAAGTTAAATGTAATGAACTCTGCCAAACATGAGCGGAGTGACTTTAAAACATTTGTACGCATAAAGCTTTGTGGAATTTAATTAATTTCTGCATATCACTTGCGATGTTGTTTGTTGAAAAATCCTCTACATACTTTAAAGCAAAGCAAGCAGTAAGCTCCCGCCACGAACTATTATATTATTGTATTTCATAATATTACGATAATGTAAAAATGTGGGAGGATACAACTCGTTTATGTGTAGGTGGTAGTTTAAATACATATGGCGGACAGAAAAATCCAAGCAATACTTGTAGATGGTTTGCTACACGTGTAATTTTGTTCTTAGAATAGAATTAAGCATATTGTTTGTAGAGAGTAGTACACACAGTCAATATGTCGGCACGTGCACCAATGTCCTATTGATATTGTTCTAAACGGAACTCGTAAAGTTTTCCAATATCGGAACCGGCCGTGTCGAGTGCATGCAAACAAATTGCATCTGTCGACGTCCCAATTCGTCGCTTGCCGATGAAATTTGAAATTTTTGACATAGCCCCTTTTGAAAAACGTGACGTTGTATGAAGTCTTTGTAGAATGTGTTGAATGTTCGGTTTTTGGTGGACATGTTCACACAAGCTTTTTGTTCGATATGGATAAATTTGTCACGTGTTTTTTGACAGTAAGCATCGGTAGTGGTAACAGAAACAAATAATGCTGAGATTAAAGCACATTGAGACGATGATCGTCGTTGATATTATCTGCCACACCTCGAAATGCTTCCAGCAACTTGTTGGCTGCAAGAGATTTTCTCTTATTTTTTTCCTAATTAAGCGGTTTGCCAACTTTAAGAGGTGTGCGCCTTTCACCCCGTCTCCCAGCATTTAGCAGCTAATTACTAAAATATCCTGACAAAGGAAATCTCTGCTTTACATAGTGCAGTTGAAATAATCGCCACCTGTAGTTTGTCTCTGATTAAGGAGAACCTTTGTACGGAAGGGGATTTTTTGTGTACACGAGATAAAGTCACTTTGTTACACTATCTATAATTTATTCGTGCGACGAAAGTTGCCCTTTCTCCCCGACTTCCCCTCTATGTACCGAGCCTAGTTAGAAGACATTTTATGGACCCCTAGTAATCCCCTGACGTGGTTGAGACACATATCCTGCAGATTCTGAAAACAGGGGGAAATCAATAATAAATAAATATTGAAAATAGTAGAGGTGGATTGAATTATTTATTTGACGTTTCTCTAGGCGAGAGACGACGAAAATTGAATTACTTAGCACTTTAGGTATATCTGATACTGTTGTGTTGATGTTGAATATACCTATTTTTGTATATACGTTTTCAAAAAGTATGTTATCGCATGTTATGTACTAGCAGAGCAATACAAAAAGCTAAGCCGGACTAGGTGAGCACGTATTTCATTTAGTTAGCTACGCGAATCAGTTTTCACTTATTCAATCAAATTCTCGTATTCGTAAAATACTTTTTGGCTTTTGGCAAAGCACACAATCGAATAACGGCCACTATGAACAAACACGTTTTCCTCTTTTATTGAGTACCTATGTAAGCTATTTTCTTTTAAATATCGATACCGTTTAGTGAACTAGGTACATATTTCTTTGTTTCCCTCGTTGCGAATTTACATTATATTTGCAAAAATGTATGAAACATTCGTATGATAATGTGATAACGTGTCACACATGTCTCTATGATGATAAATCACATTAAACGCTTCACATAATATGGATGTGACGTATCTCGTGACGTCCTCCAAAAACAGTCATTCGAATTAAACCAATAATATTGTTTAATATGTAAATCTCGCTTTAAAAGCGCCACCATGTTTGACGTTTTCATTTCGATTCGATCATTGGCTGTGTGTCCGTCATGTATATTGATGAGTATAACTCTGATTGGCTGAACTTCTGCTTTTGTTTCATAAAATCAATTTATACCCGCACTCAGCCAGACATTCACTTTTATCCGGATAAAGAAAATTCTCCGAGATTAATTTATATTGCCAAGAATAAGAGACAAAAAATAAATAATCACGAAGACACGAAAATAATTGTAAGTTCAGACCATCAATCAGCGAGTCGGCCCGGATTGGACAGAACACAAAAACATGGGCGAGTGACCGAACAATAGATGACGCTGACGATCCGTCGCACACAGCCCAAGATGGCCGCCGCCTTTTGGCGGGAACCACTGAAGCGAATAATTGACAAAGGATACAGTCTTTGTGTGCTTGGGCCAGCTCGCTTGTCCGCCAAAATATTACCCGAGAATATTCCTAAATATTTAGATTTTTTGTTAGAAATAAGTTTCGTTTTGGAAATAAATCGGGACCGAGGTCAAGATTTATTTTGTAAGCTTCCACGAGACGAGGCCGCGGCCCTTTACATTATTTGTTAAGCTGATTAAATTTGTATTTGAAACAATGGAATAAAAAAGCAAACTGCCACTACTTTATTGAACAAAGCTACAAACACAATGGAACACCAAATGATATTATTATGGTCCGGATAGTCTAGTTGTTATGCAATCAACTCGTGTACAAATAATTGTCCTATTCACATGTTCATCTCTGTAACAAGATTAGCCATTAGTTGTTGTTAGTGCTGGATCACTTGATTGAGTCATGTCACTTCGTTACCCAACAAAAAGTAGTTTGTTCATAAAATACGAGCGGGGTCTGGCCGCAAATTGGCTCCCCCAACATTGGTGAATTACAGGCATTTCCCTTATTTAGGAATAAGTGCCGTAGGACCCTCGACAATAGACTACAAAGAACATTATTCGCATGCAAGACGTCGAACGTGAATGCCTTATTTACAACATAATGGAAGTGAAAAATTTCATTTCGAACCATTTCTGTAGTTGTATGGGAATTTTGTTTGAGGACAAAATGGACATGGCATCCTTTAACATCCTCATAAAAACAAATAAATTAAGCATATTTGATTCCCCCAAATGTGATAAAAATCTTTTAAATACCTCTATTGGATTAGCAAAACAAGTTGAAATGTGATTAATTTTGTAAAAGCTCTATATAATATTTTAATATTTACATTAAAGCAAATAAAAATTATGATAATGAATTTGAATTACATCTGGAGATTACATATAGCATAGCATGTCATCACGTGTTGTTATAGTTTTTATGCAATAAGAAAAAACAATCTTCTTCTTATGTTTACAAATTAAGTAGATGTTTCTCTATGGTCCTTAAATGTTTTTCTTTTATTTAAAATACTTCAGCTTTTGAATAAACATAAAATACATTTGAATATTCCTTGAGTACTCCGTAAACAATTTTTACAATTTTATTTCAATAACATTGGCATAGTTTCGAGATCGGAAAGTCATAAGTAGGTTCTCCAATGCGTTGTCGTTCGGCGCAAACAAAGAAGAACTATAAAAACTTCATGGAATTGCCATTTAAAGAGTGTATTGTAATATCAATAAAGTTCAAGTTACAATCCAGTAACGGCTCGCCTTCTACTTTGTCTGTTAAATCTCAAAAACATTATGTAAGTCACACCGGCTATTCGCTCCTCTATAATTGGCAAAGTTTACGTCATAATTTCTTTATGAAATTTTCGTGCCAAATATCTTAATTAAGGGTTGAGGGACTTTCGCAATTATGCCAGACAGAACGCAGGTATGCTCAGCAACTTTAATGAATTGCCCCAACTTGTGTCACAATTCATATTAAATTGTGTACACTGGTAATGTCAGTTTGACATTAGTTTTCAAAACTGCAGTTAGTCGCCGCGCTAAAATCGTTAACTGCGCCTAATCACGCAGTTTGAGTCGTTCGCTGAAAGTTAAAGTTGATTTAGTTCGAGCTCTATATTTTTTGTCGTGAAAATTCGACGAAAGCGGATCGCAATTGTGTGCCGCTGCGTCACCCGACATTGTGTAATATTTTGCTTTGTAAGCTTACAAGAAAATCTGTCATAGTGAACTTTGGCCTGCCACAAACATTGGCATCCGCCTTATTTACTGTATCGCACACAATAGCAATACACGGCTGTCAATAACTGCTTCGAGCTCTTACCAAATAACAAAAGCAGACGTGATACGTGTCTCAGTGTCTCGTATTTTTCTCTTAATCAAACGTAACCACGGGGTAACGCAAACAATGTTGTAATAGGTAAATAATCTTTGGTAAGTAGCCTTAACTTGGCGTATAAATGTACCCCAAGTTATTCAGAAGATCAGCTAAGCCGCACGGCCGCGACAAATTGTCACCGCAGCGACTACCCACGAAATAAATGTCGTAGCAGTAGGAACCATTCCAACTAACTTCACCTGAAATCCTCAACTCCAAGTGCGATTAAAACCACGAACAAACATTCAGTTAACAACTATGAGTAGCGTTCCCATCGTAAAATGAACTGCGAGCCTCTTACGAGGTAAAACGACCAAAAGGTTCGGATCGCACCGCCGAGGCTCTAAGTAAACTGGTCACGTGTTGGCCGGCTTTAGAAGAGGCGCAAGTAATTGGCCACAATAACAAGTCGAGTAACTTTTTTAGTTTTCTTTATTACGGGATTGTGATGCTTATTAGTTTGGTAACAAAATAATATGTCTTTCAGCAACTTATTCTTGTGAAAGATCATACTGAAGTATGAACATCCTATATTTTGCTCCAATAATAAGAACGAATATCGTATATAAACAAGAATAGTTTCTCTCCATCTTGATTATCATCTCAACATTTTGATAACAAGTTATTTTAACTAATTACCTTCTTTCCTTCTAGTCTTCGACTTACATGATTTTGAATCTTACCCTTTACTGAATAAGAGTTATTTGTGTTTCAGGAACGTGGTGTATAACCTCAGCCTCACAGACTTGACGGAGCAGCGTCGGCTGGTCTGGTACTCACCAGAGAATGACGTCAAGATGTGCGTCGTCAAAGGAAAGGACGAGGTCAGTGTTAAATAACATTACATACATACATAATATGCTTTATTTGGCTCCAGAAAATTGATTCAGAATAATTTAAGTATATTTATAACAGTTTTGTTGTAGACGTTTTGTTCATAACATTGTTATTCATCGAAATCTTTATGATTTGAATTCCTAAAGAAAAAGTCATATCGCATAAATTTATTTATTCATAGAATATCTGCTGTGGATTCCTTACAAGAAAAGATAAAGAAATCGTTCTGTACATAACTCGAAACATAGTTTAGTAACTATGTAGCTAGTGCTACGCCGTAGTAACATACTACGAACTTCGTAGCGCTACGCATAAATCGGAACAAACTGTTTTAATTCCAATTAAATATTTGATAATAACCATTCAGTGAAACAGTTTTGAATGTTGAAAACTAGTTAATGTAGGCTTCTAATAACTACAATCGGGTATATTATTCTAAGTAAAGCACAATGAAACTGCGCCCGGAGCTCAATATAAATGTTACCTGCCGCCATCTTGCGGCGAATAATTGAATTTTGAACGAGTCGGTCGCGTATGAAACGAGGCCTTATTCCGCTAAACGTCTCTCTACCGAATACCGGCAAATTAAAAAGCCAATCGAGTGGAAATTCGCGCTAGACTCGCACGGAAGATGTTCCACGAGGTCGTATAACTTTATTTTAGTTCGAGTTAATGAGCGACCTCATTTCGGGATTACGGAATATGAATGTGAGCGGGGAACCCGAGTGTATGGTGGCAATAACCCGTATAATATATGTAGAAATTTGTATTAACTTACTCTGATGCAATTAGGAGGTTCCGGAGAAGATCTGTGCTAAAATGTCTTTCTTGCAACCGAAGACGTGTGTGTGTTTTATGTAAATACAATCTATAGCACTACAACTTTTTACTAAGTTCTATGGAATACAAGGTAAAGCCGTTACAAAGATTTTTGAATTCAGTCAAATCAACTGGTCAACAAATTCCTGTGCATTTCTAAAGCAAAAACGATTGGTTATCGAAAACGATGTTAGCTGGGGGCTGTGCCATGAAAATTTTTTCGAACTGAGAAAGAACAATCTTTACTATTGAACCACATTGATGTAGCTTCATTCATAACTACAGTTCTTTTACTTAAAACAAGCAACACATTCCATTTACGATGTTTTCCGTTCAGATTAGCATAAACTGCAATAAATATGGTTCCTTTAAAAATAACAGTAAACTATGCAAACGATCATGTTGTTTTATGACTGTGCATAGTGTTCCATGGGGGAAATTAAAAAGCTGTTTTGTAAATACACCCTTTTTACGAACCTATTATTATTGGGTAACATTTTTATGGCGTTGTATAGGTTATTTCTATAAGGGTTTACCTTTTAAGTGGTAAAAAGTAGGGAAGATATGTTAAAGGGAGTTAGGGTTGTGCTACGTAAACTAAGAAAGTTCGAGCGACTGAAAGGTGGTTGTATTAAATCTAAAATTTAATTTGGACGTGTACGAAATATAAGAAAAAATGTAATTTGCTACTGACGATGATCAGAAATAATAATTACTTACTGCATTACTTAATTTCTAAGCACTTACTTCTACTACTACTACACTTTCCGTCGGTGCAGCGAGGCCCTGGAGGACTGACGTGGAGAAGGGTTTCGCGTGAACAGTAGTTGCTCGCGAGTCAGTCGATCCTAAGCTCAAGGAGAAATCTTATGTCGATGATCGCAAAAAAATGTAGTATAATAAAATGAAAAGTGGGTTCTCATTCTTCACATACAATACATATTTATTTATGAAAACTTTCACGTCTAAAACAGCCAAAACATAAGTTTAATTTACCAAAACATTTGTTTTACAAAGTAATATCTTGCACTATTTACTAATGCACTTGTATTTCTCTTCCGAGCGTCGAGTACTGCATACGTAAGGAGAAGTTTTAAAACGTTTATGCATCCATTAGTGGCACGTTGTAATGAGTTCCGATTAATGTAACTGCCACCTACTGCCACCTTCTGCCACCTTCTACCACCCACAACCACCATTCGGTCGTGCAACTCGTTTTAATAAGTTTTTCCGCTAATTGGAAACTATAAATTTATCCCCTTTAAAAAGACGCGATTCGCGAGTAATGTTGTGGGTATTGGCTGTTTTTTGGAGGGTTCGTTATTTATTAACTATGTTGTTATAAGTAATTAATACTATACTTACTTTTGACTGTACTGTCTTTGTACTAAATTTGAATACAAAATCTCCTAATAAGTTTCTCCTAAAATTACATAAGGGGCTTAAAATTAATTAACATTTCAATTAACCAAAATGTAGCATACTAATAACTTCTTAAAACAAATAACAACTTTTTTAATATCAAGCCGTACGTAGTAACAGCTAGTATGAGTCTTAAAAGCTAACGTTAACGACCTTCACCGCTAGAGGGCGTAACGGTCGTCAGAAAGCTAATTAAGGAACGCTTTTAAAAATATACGCCATGTTGCAAGTAGGTCGCTGGCCGAAATATAATGTTTCAAAGTTTTTGTTGTGTTTATATTGTTAGGGAAAATTGTATGCTATTAACGAAATAATGCGTTTAACTGATGACTTTGGTAAGGAAAATGAATTGCTTAATCCTATTATGAGGAAACAACTACTCAATGTTATGTATTGTTGTGCTTGACTGATTTATATTATTATATCAAAAGTTAACTAGAGTATTAAGCCTTTTAACCGTGGTAACTAGAGACACAATAGTTAGACAATACGTATCGAAAGCCAGCGTTCGTTGGGGTTTGATGAATTAAAAGAATTTCGCTTACCAAATTTGTCTTAAATGAATGTTGCAATAATTGGTAATGATATATTTCAACAACGTTTCCTCAAAAACGTATCTATGATCAAACATCTCAATCAAATAGCTTTCAACTAGTCAAATAGATATGGCGTCATAATATTTTGTATTTCTGAAAAAGATAATTAAATAGGCATGATGTCTTATCAATAAATGAAAGTTTGACTATTATTTGAATATATCATTGTATTGAAAGTTCAAATTTATTTATTTATTTATTTATTTATTTATTGATATGGAAACTCAACAGCTTATTATTAATTTACATGAGTTCTGAGTGTTCACTTCACTATCAATGAACAGCTTAAAGTACTTACTGAACAGTGATAGCAAAATGATGACCAAATGTTTACCTATATAGAAAACTACGTGATTGTAAAGTCCTAAAATCAATTTAAAAATCTTGCACAATCGACCTTAATCACGTTCATAGCTAGAACAATTGTGTTAATTTAAGTCTACCGCATCTTCTATCAAACCAGTTCCAAGTAGTTCTACTTAAATGTATAATACGATTCCATCAATTTTAATTACGTACATTGGGTGGCACATTTATGAGAAGATCAACGTTACTGGATTACCTATTCCCAGGAGTGAAGTCACGTCTTTCATGTCTAGACTTGTACTTAGGCATTTGAAACCAGCTTATTAAATACAAGTGGATGTTTCAATCAAATTGTCATACTTCTGACTTTAGTTTTTGTTTCATAACTATACTGCCTTTGGCTGCACGGTTGGTGCGGTGGCTGGGCAACTGGCTGCCCTGCAACGTGTCGCGGGTTCGATTCCCGCACGGAACAACACTTTTGTTTCGGGTCTGGGTGTCATGTGTATGTTTGTAAACGCACCCACAACACAGGAGAAAATCCTAAAGTGGGGCAAAGTTTTTCTAAAAAAAAAATGTTGTGAGACATAATAAAAAGCATTTTTATTTAAAGACAGAAGAAAACGTCGTGGTATCGAAAAAAAAATAATAGCGTGGCTTAAAACTAGTAGAGTTTACTTCAGTATTGTTAAAAGTATTTTGGTATCTGTGTAGTAAAGAAACTGTATTTAAAAGGCCTGAAAATTTGTCGAAGAATTTGTTTGAGAAATCGACGAAACATTTTAAATGATTAAACAAATATGTTAGTTGAGATAATGGTTACTAGCATGTCAACAGTAGAATATTATTTACGACACTGCTATGTGTATCTTGTAAATTAAACTTAAAGCTCATTTTTCAATGGCATACGATGAGAAAGTTTGTGCAAGTTTACTTATGAACGCTTCTGAGGAAAACAAGCGTGTTGTTATGTAAGTTATGTTGTTTTGTAAGATCGATTTTCGCGTGAAACAAACATGTTTTTAACTACTAGTTTTTAAAGTGGAAAAATATGTTGTTGAATTATTTTGCTAGCTTACAAATTAATACTTTCCTATCTCACAAAGAATGAAACCGACTCAAACCTTTAGATCTACAAAATTGACGTTTAAAATTTTCCTAGAGTACGTTGACCGCAAACAAAGCATGTGTATGTTTGTTCTTTTTACGTCCCGAAGGTTCGTCTCTCAGTTGATTGCTCAGCGCTCGCGAGACGTCGCAAATTCATGCTTCAATTGCAAGCAAGGCAAGCCTGGTCCGTCGAACTGCACGCCATTTTACTTGGTCTCGAACTGCCGCCGACGTGAGCCGACTGCCATCGGTTCCTAAACAGATTTGTTGAGTTCCGTCTTCGAGAGAATTCTAGTAACATTCTGAATTAGATTATGTAGGTGCAAAGTGGAATACATCAGTCGAGTTGTTCGTTTGATTTTCGTGTATTTTTCGGTTTACCGAAGAAACGTGGTTAAACTTTCATCGAATACAATTTCAGAAATGCAATTTTACAATATTTTTACCGTAAAATAATCGATATATCCTCTAACTGTACCTAATTTCATTAGCCCAATTTAAACTTTAATCGTCGATGCATCCATCACTCTTACGGATTATGGCTTCAATGTGCTAAATCCGATTACATCCAGCCTGTATTTACAATTAGCTCTAATCCTAGAGCAAACAGGGCGTGTTTTATCCTAGATTTATTCGCTTACGTATTCGGCCTAGAGTGCTCTGAATGAGAAAGTAACTGGTCAAGTGGGGGCAGTGTGCGAATCGAAATGCGAACTCAACAAAGCTCCTGGTCTCGGTGGTGTAACGCACATAATGGAGGCTTAGGGGTGTCGCCTACACTTAGACTAAGTAAAGTAACTACAGTATTGTAACTATCATTCTTTGCATTTAAATTACAGTTCCGTAGTTGCATATCTATAATCCTAAGTAAATCAAGATTGAGATATGTACACATTATACTCATAGATTGTAGTTGAAATTCTGCTTAAAATTTTCTATCTGCCAACGCATGTTATGAGACCTGGTTTTAAGAGCAGCAACCCTGCCTCGTATTGCGAAATGCGTGGCGAAGGATGGGCCTCGGAACGAAATCGTCGCAGCTGACGGCACCGAGTGCGGACAACGGGCTCTATAGGCGCTTCCAGAAAGTGCTACAACTATGCTACACATTCTACATATAAGAACATAAGGTTTAATACAAAACTAATTAGGGTCGAGATCGATTTCGCGTTCCAGTGTTTAAGTTTTTTTTTTTGAATGAATTTTTGTCAAAAATTCACAATAAAGAAAATTCATTGTTTATAAAATTACTAAAGAAAGAAATATATAATATATAATATCTATGAAATACCAGCAACTTATTATCTCAATGACCGTATTTTTTAATAGTTATGTTAAAATTTGCTAAAAAAATCTAGATCATTTCAAACATATCTATTAGATACTTAATTCGCCACTTAATAATAACTTAATGCACACTTAATATAAAGCTAAAAAGTTTGATTCAACACTTTCTCAGGAACGACTGGTTCGAATTTTTAAAAAGTCTTACTATATTGGATAGTCTATTTATTGAATAGCTATGCTATAAAACATTACGCAACAGCCAATAGGAGCCGAGCTGCAGGCAAAACCATTAAGGAATATCATATATATTATATTTATCTATACCAATATTATAAAGAGGTAATATTTGTAGGTTTATATGTAGGGGGTAATATTTGGAACCGATAGTCGGATTGCCAAAATTCTTTCACTGATAGGTAGCTACAATGTTCCTGATTGCTATAGGCCATAAAATATCACGCTAGCGGGTGAATCCACGCAAGAGTAGCTAGTATATAACATATAAGAGATTTCGGCATACAAATGACGTCACACGATTGAATAGTCAGACATAACAGTTATGTATGTAAGTCAATAACTTAAGCTAGAGTAAGCTAGCATAATAATATTGTTCAGTAATGCATGTTAGTTTCAGGCAACTTAGATCCATTCAGATTAGGCACTGTTGACGCTTCCAAGTGACTCACTTACCTTTGTGTATATATGTATATGTGATAGTTATTGTACGTGGATAAATATATGTATACATATATACATATGTACTTAGCGCCATCTACTAAGATATTTGGGTATTGGCATTTTGCCAGTTGAGTGAACAGAATTTTTGGTAGGTTCTGTTTTTTTCTATATATTTCGGTTGCATATAACGGTTGTATATCATTGTCACCGCATTCACTTAAATTAATCAAATCACACACACCAAAACACAAACACGACAACTTCTATATTTATATCTTAAAAAGAGAGTGTTGTTGTATGCCTTCAAAACTATTTTTTACTAACAAAAAGTATTTTTCTTTCATATATTAAATAGTAGGTAAATATAAATCTTGTTTTAGAAATCTATACTAATATTATAAAGAGGTAAAATTTGTAAGTTTGTATGTAGGGGGTAATCTTTGGAACCGCCCGTCGGATTGCCAAAATTCTTTCACTTATAGATAGCTACAATGTTCCTGAGTGTTATAGGCTATAAAACATCACGCTACGATTAAATGGAGCCGAGCAGCGGGTGAAATCGCGAGAGAGGAACTAGTCGGTTATAAGGTTTCAAAATAATGTTCATCTCAAGTGCAATTCGGAAGAGGTAGGTTCCTTTACTCTCGTCTCTTTATCTGCATAAAATATGATCACGTAGGTAAAGCACGGCTAGGACCGATTCACTAATAAACTTGAACCATAAAACTATTACAATAAAACTCAAAATGAAAGATTTACATTCGGTAGAAACGCTCTTTAAATTTCAATGATAAAATCTTTTTGCCGCACAAAAAGTTTTACCTATATATTTTTTGAATTACTCGTGAAATTTTCATAACTAGGTAGGATATCGAATTTAATGGTTATTGTGGTGATTATTTAGTAAATCCTTCATCCATTAGTATCTATATGTACTATATATATAGTAAAATACATTCAATATTTAAATGATTTTTGGAATGGCCTAGATTTAGTTTAAATATTTTGTTTTATGTAAAGCAAAATATATAATAATCTGGCAATAATTGCTCAGAAACTTAATGCACTTCATCACAAAAAGAAAATTAATTTTAATTTTGAATTTAATATAAAAGTAACGAAAAACAACAGTAATCTCCTTCACTTAAAGTAGAATTTTCTTAGTGTTTCCTCACTAAAATTTTCCCGCCTATCGAGCCTACCAAAGCGTTCGTAGTTCGACTAGTTATACAAAATGGCGGCTCTGTCAGTGTGTTCGGATCCCATTGCTGCAGAATAGGATTACGGGCCGTACATCTGGAGGCTCATGGAAATGCAAATGCAATCATATTACCGAACTATATCGCCGATATACCTGCCCACAGATAGATTTACTTGGACTTAATTTTACTGGCAACATTCCCCTAACTCCGGGATTGGATTAAGTTTCGAATATAGCCGTTTGTGAATTTATTATATTGGTCACTCGCCAATAAAGTATCGATGAGTTTTCTCGAGAAAATTATTGTTTTGATTCAATTTCGTATAGTTTATTTGAGCAGTATTATCGTTATGTTAACTGTTCCCAAACTTAACAAAACGTTTTTCGTTTCACAGGAGAGCTGTCAAAACTACATACGAGTGCTGGTCTCCCTCGGTCCTGGCAGACTACTGGTCTGCGGCACCAACAGCTTCAGACCATTCTGTAGAGAGTACAGCGTACAACGAGACTCCTACCACATGGAGAGGGAGAAGTCAGGCCAAGCTGTTTGCCCCTACGACCCTGAACATAATTCCACCGCCGTTTATGCGGGTAAGTTAAAACTATACGACTATAAACCTTATTGTGAAAAGTTATGGTTCTGAATATTTCACACGACACGGTTTTACAAAACTATTCAATAGTTACTAAAGCAAGTTGAGATTCTTGAGGTACAATAAGTTGGTCTAATTTCAAAATAACAACACCATACTCAAAATATAAAAAGACAACAACTAAATTCGTTCTAAAAAACAAAAGTAGTTGTTTTATCAAACAAGAGGCCTAGAATACCTAGTAAATTGAGAGAGACAGCTATATAAGAGAAAACACAGCATACCTAGCTAGCAACCTGACCCTAATAACATAGCCTAGATAAACATCTATCCTATTAAAACCTGTGTTAATTTTACCGTAGAATTTAAAGGACAAGTTTGAGGTAAAACCAGCCAGTGTAACACTGGCAGCAAATTGCCTGGCAACCCTACCTACCAATTAGCACGACACCGGAATATTTTAAATTTTAAATTCGGAATATTTTTTTATCTGTGAGAGGAAATGTTGTAGTTTTTGGCCAGTCCGGTGATGATAATGGTTTCAACTATAAAGCATTCGCATGTTGACAGAGGTTTTATTTAAATTGAATATATTTTTTTCACAATTATTTATTACGTAGTAGTACAATCTGACTACAGACATACACTAGACAAAACGGATACGCTAAAAATACCCAAGAATAAAACTACATGGACCATGAGAATAATTATTATTTATACCAATTACCTACTTGTATTTAATTAAGGCATATTAATTAAATATTTGTATAACCTATTTTCAACGGACAGTCTATGTACAATCTACTTGACAATATAGCCGCAATAATCGCGTAAACATGATTAAGTTCTTAATCCAATTTACAAATGCACATCGCACAATACACACATGACTTATCTTACAATATATCTTAGGATGTGTCACAGTCGAGCGGGTTTCTGAGCATTACCATGCTCGTTAATGGTATACAACGACGGTCTTGTTACACTATACTCTGCAATTAGTTTACTTGTATGTCCTAGGCCCACCATTGTCTACGTGTAACTGAAGATTAATATAGAGTGTATAATCTGTGCAACCACAGATACAAAAAAAAATCAAATATCGAATAACGCATGCAATATGATCAGCCTAGTTGAGTGATTTGAAAATAGAACGCTGTTTGTCGTGCTCAAAATCTCCTATGACTACAACCAGTCCTTAGAAATTGTTTTATTTATTTAATTATTTATTATCAATTATGATAAGGTAGACTCACAGCTCATTTATACCTACAAAGTTGTTAGAAGTATTCGTTATATGTAGTAGTAGGTCTTATCCGTATTATCTTACTCAGGCACGAGCTAACCAACATTCCTAGTTATAATTTCTATAAAGTTTGTATAGACAAAATATATACAAATTATAACTAGGATTAATCAAATTAACATAGGACAACAGTATTTATCATAGTTTTCGGGAACAAATTCGTTAATAAGGCAAAATGTAAGTATCTAACCATTAATTGGTCTGAGTTCGGTAGTTAAACAGCCGCATAGACAGTACTCCTTTGTACAAAACAAAAAACTACTTAAAAAGGATATATCACCCTCTACAAGTAGAAATCACAATCTGAATCAATAAACCCCAGGTGTCAAGTGCACGGCGTATCATTAATCGTACGGCATATCCTGAGGGTGTTATACTAGCATCCAATCTATAGTCCCCCTTAAAAAGAATCATCCACGAAGAATCTCCCGATAAGCAAGATACTGGTAATATAACAAAGACTTGTTATCATACTAAGAACATATATAGAATCGCAAAACCCTTCCCGGTAACAGGGTCACATATGCTAAGGAACCCCATGGTCGTTCTATTGTCAGGAAATTAGGAAAAAAAGGGAAAATCTCTTTCATAACGATTGAACCCACTTTCACAGTCTGTCGGCGTACAATGGCCACTCATTGTTGCATTGTAAAGAGGTTCTCTCAATAGCTGTACGAGTGGATTATGACGTGACTGCTGTACGTACGTGTTATAGAAATAGTAAGGATGCTATGACGCGATTTGGTTGCTAACAAGGACTTTTATCCGAACACGCCATTATTATAGCTACAATTTTCGACATGCATAGGTATGTCTATGTACACATCGTACCGGCAATTTTGATCGACGCTGTAAGATATAGGTACACAAATATCGACTGAGAATCATACAAGTGTCTTGGTGTGTTAATAGTTTTATTGATAAAGTAAACTTAATATTCTTCAAGGCACTACTACGCCTTTCAGTTCAAAGACTTTCAGACTCGACGTAGATATACAAACTGTTACAGACAGATCCTAATCTGCTTTTTGTCATAAAGTAGAATGATTCAATAAATAAATGTCATCATATAAAATGTAAAAACAATTAACAAATAATAGCTTTTACAAATAACTGTAGATAATAGGTATACAAAACCAATAAAATTAATTCGAACCCTTGAAAACTTAACAAATTATAAAACTCCCGCCCATGAATACACAATGGCCTCCTATATTTCAAGATGGTTCCGAAAATAGAACAATACGCGATACGCCTTATATTATTATAAACAATAATACGCAAGTTTCCGATGTTCTGAATACCATGGGTGCGTATTATTGCGTAGTCTAACGTATTGTTTGCATTATTAAAGTGATTATACCTGTATATATTATTGATGAGAAAATTCCAAGAAGAAAGTCTTAAAATATGAGTATGCGGGAAATGATGCAAACATTTGAATTTAGAACCATTCGTTTCTTATAGCCCTTTTATGGAAGAAGCTGCTTTATAGCTCAGAAGTTCACAAATCAAGGTTACAGACACATTATTTTGAAAATTCGAAACATATCACTCAAATATTACAAAGCATACAAATCAAATCAAATCAAAATCATTTATTCCAAATAAACCATAAATAGGTACTTTTGAAACGTCAAAATAGAATAGTAGTCTGTCAGTCTGTTCGTCAGTGAAGCTAGGTGCTCGTTCCAAATTGTAGATTCGAATGGTGAAGAACGAGCAAGAAACTCCATCGTTACTCTTTTTAAAAAAATATTTGTTTTACAATTCATCAATAATACATTTTTTATACATTACTGTACCCCTATGTGAGAACAATGCAGAGACAAGTTGTTAATAAAAAGAGTATAGAGTAGCATAAGCATAGCATAAGAGATACAGTATTCATAGCTGATCAAAAACAGGGTAACTACATCTTCGCTCCCTCACAGACAGACATGAAATGTGAACAGAACATAACAAATAACGGACTGCGGCCAAAAGCCAGAGCAAATACTTTCAATATTCAAACATTTCTGAATCATCGTGGCACTAGCAGCCTACGTAATATTTTAGAGGTTCAAAATGGTAGTGAATTGTAACAATGCCCCAGGTGCAAGATAATGCCTGAAACAAGCATATGCTGAATTTATCCTTTGCAGTAGTGCATAAATATCTGGTGAGCTGAGTCTAAGCCTAAATTTAAGCCTTTATGACCCTATTTGCTTATTGAAAATTACATTCATTGGTATTGACACGGACTTATTGTAGCAAGAAACCTCTGTTTCGAAATACATTTACGTTTTATCCAAGTTTTGATTATTTCGTTTCGAATACATCTTTTATTACAATTTGATATACAACGTATAACAGAGATATTATTATAAATTTGGCAGTAATATAATTTTGGCAATTTTAGTCAGTAGAGTTAGACACTAATTCTCGCTCAACTCAGAGCAGTAGAGGTTTTTCCCATAAAAACAAATAATTTATACCTTTCCAATTCATATCAGTGTCTAATAAACAAGTATAACAAATTCAGTAGAAATTTATATGGATTTTCCGAAATCTTCAAAGAGACAAAACTGACATTTTAATCTGTAAACCGAGTACTTGTTAATTGAAATCTAAACACAAAACTAACTAATTGAATGTGACCGTAATCCTTATAAAGTAAGATAGCTATTTCTCCGAAGTATTTACGTGACTAATCGTCTCAAAAAATGTAATGATTCGTACCTAAATAATCGAACTTAGTTAGCCTAGAAAACGGCCTAGACTCAGTTGAGTATTTTAATAATAAGACTGAATATTGATTACTGTCTGAGAAGGTTCTAAAATGGCTGTACTAGTCGACTTTACCTAAGTACCGTACTTCATATTTCAGCACAGTTGTAAGTACCTCAATGCCTACCTACTCCATTGTACGCCAGACAAAACACGTTGAAAAGGACAAGAGATTATCCTAAACAAACAATCAACGATTTTCTTAAAAAACCTTTGTGAAAAAAATATATTTACTGTGCCTTACAACTGAGAGAAGTATCCAGAAATTAATTTGAGATCTGCAATTTGTATATTATGTATTTTCATACAGCTGATCGTTTGCTACTTGTGGTATGGGCAATTTTAGTACGCCTTTTTCCCTATTTCCCTGTTTACATATGACCTTATACGAAATAGTTAGCTTATGTATTTTATTTTAGTGTGCAGAGCCCTTAACTATTCACATTACGAAGGATGCACATTATGTTCACATCCACAATTCCTTATCTAAATTACTTTTTACAATATACAAATATCCCATTTTTTGCCAGCCCATAATCCGGTGCGGATTCACTGATCTAATTCCAGCTAACAAGAAAAATTAAACCAAATTAGCATCGATTGCAATCCGCTTAAATTTTGTCTTGATTCAATAAACAAGTCTTGTTATCCGTCAACATGACATGAAATCCACTGTGTTGCCATGGTTACAATACAAATCCCCCTACAAACAGTATCCTATGGTGCTGAACCATCAATTACTGTCACTCTGTCCCTTTGTGCAATTTTCTTTGCATTAAAACATCCCCTTGCAAATTCACACCCATTTATAACACGCAACAAAACTATCGTCGCAACTTGTGTTATTTGTGGTCACACCGCCGTGTTGCTTTTATTTTATGAAGAACAGGCATAAGGGGTGTTTTTTAAAGTCTTTATTTCACTTGTTCAAGCGTAGAACATTTTTCTTTTTGGCGTACCAATGAGGCAGTTATCTAAATTCAATTCCAGAAGCTCATGTGCCTGTGCCAAGTTCGAAATAAAAAGGCGCTCCTAATGTATGTATGGCTGGCTATTTAAAACACATTAAAAAAACCACTTCAAAATTCATGCGAGTAATTAAAAACCCTGTCCACGGTTTGTCGTCGGACGTAAAACGCACAAAAAAGTAAAGAGTAAAACGTTTACATTAATTGAATTCAACAAAAGCACAGTTGCCAGTTTGTTATATTATTTCATATAAAAGAGCGGCTAACTTTTACACATTTCGCGGCAACTTTTTTAAATTGTCCTCGTGTTATGTTCAGCAATTCGGTCATTCACGCAAACGTTGCCTTGTTATAGGTGGCTCGTCTGTGTACACACATTTTGGTAAAACACACACACAACTCCACCGGCATAAATGAAAGTTTCGTATAAAATTGTGAGCGAAAGAATTTATACGGGTGTGTGCGTCAAAGTGACCACGTACAAACATAGCTAGTAGAGTACCCACGTATACCTACATATGTATATTTTTTGTTCACACACACATGGAACGTGGATGCATTACGTAGTGCGGACTCGGTTAGTTATCTCCTATTGATCTGGTCCAATTAAGTGCACCGACGCCCTGGGGAGCAGTGGCCGGCTCACCGGCAGCCGGTCTTAGGCTAGCACCTAATATATATGTGTTGCTAACTTCCGTGTCGTAATTTTGCTGATAGTGTAGTGCAGCTGTAGGTAGGCGGGTACAATTCCCGGCGATCGTGTCCGCTCGGAGATTGCGACGGACTTAAACTATTGTGCTAAATGCTCATTGTCTTGATGCTGATGCTGCGGTAAATATTGAACGGCCTCTTGTTTCGATTGAACAGCGGACTGAATTGTTAAGGCGAGCTACAGAGCCAGGTTCACAATTTATTATATGAACCCGGGTTTGGATCCCGGCTTTGAAAGCTTTGACGAATTTTATACAGTATACAATACGTGTATGCATGTTCGTTAGATGCGACACGCGTCTCCTCTCAAATTCCACGAACATTTCAATGGACCACCATGTCAAAGGTTCAGGTCCATTCAATATTCCACGTCCAGGAAGCCTTCATATGAGTTTTGTGTAAAAGGATTTCGTTCTAATTTGTACTGAAACAAACAAAGACAGCTGAAAGAACAATCTGGTGGTGTAAAATTATTTAAGCTTGAGCTCCGATATTAAGATTATAAATCTTTACGACAGTACATGCTAATAACTTCCTTATTGAACTACATAGCTCTTAAACTGCAGTGCCAGATTATCTTCACAGACCAATCGACAACTAGACTAAACCGAAACAGAACCCACTAACACTATAGTGTATTGTTAGAATAATCAAGCCTTAACATTCTCCGGGGACAAAGCCACACAGGCTTTAAACAGGCCTTCCCATAAATTGAAGCGACGTACGATCTTACAGCACACAATGTCCAACGCATCTGCACTAGTGTTGCCAGTAGCTTGTCTCAAATAAACACAGGTACAACCTACTCCACCCTTATCGCCTTTTACGACCCTCAAGGGAAATGGGGCCGGTCCATTTGTAACAGACACCGTATTGTTATCTAGTTAATCAAATTAGTGCTCGAATATGTAGCTAGAATTGATCTGTACATAGGCTACGTACTTAGTCTAATTAGTTTTAGTTGTAATGAATAGAAAGAGGGATCAATTAGATACGTACGGTTGATAGGTTAACGAAAATGGACGGTTGATTCGGCCGTTCTTTGCGACGAGACGCATTATTTTAGTGATCTGCTTACATTTGTTTGAATAAGAGCATTGTTTTCATGATTATTTTTATATTATAACTGGTAAATAGTCATTTTAAATACATTTCTCCACTCGAATGACAATAGAAACAGCAAAGTTTGTACTATTAAAATTCAACTCTAGACTTTGTACCATTCCTATGCCATACTAAACACAATGCCTACGCGTGTGTAGGTACTCGGGCAATTCACACAACAACGTTTGGGCAATTCACAGGCACATTCGGGTAATTCACACAGACACATTAGGGCAATTAACGGGCACGCATCTCATATGCAAGACACGTAGCCAAGCTGATGGCATGTAACGCACTCTGTTCACTTACCACTGCATTATGGGATTTCCCAATGAGGTTTACTCAGGGGAAATGTTCAGTCCATTTGTAACTTCATTAAAAATAATAGAGCACTTCTCTCTGTGTTTGATATTCGAACTACATAAAAGAACAGATCTAAGATTTGAACGCAACTGTAATATCTCTGCTAGTATTAGTGGTGTTGGTTTTTCGTGTCCAAAATTCTGACGATTGAGATTTGGAAATGCAACTAACTATACATAGGCTTACTGTTACATGGTCTAACTATGAATATCGTATAAAATCTTTTGTTTTGCGCAGTAACCAATAAAACAAGTTTGAAGTTACGTTACGTATCAGACAAAAGAACAGACCTACTTGTTACAATTTTCGCATCCAAACATCATCGTTATTTTTAAGCCGCAAATGAAAATGTCGTCCAATTTGTATATTTTTATTTCGGAAACCTTCAAATAAATGCGTTTGACAGGAATGTGCAACTGTGTAAAGTTTTTAACGTCGTCAAGCAATATTATGTTTAAAGGGGCAAAGTTTAAAGTAGATGTTTCTTTACTTTCAGACGGGGAGTTGTATTCGGGAACAGTGGCTGACTTCAGTGGTATGGAGCCTATCATATATCGAGAACCTTTACAAACGGAGCCGTATGATTCAATGACGCTAAATGGTAAGTATCTTATATAAGCACAATGTGCCTTCATTACTAACTGTTCTGATGTAGCAGTGTTCATGGAAACTATCAGATAATGGCACGATTTGTGTCGTTGTCCCCTCATAAAATTTCTATTTGAATATATTAACTTTAAATTGTCAAAATGCCTTATAAATCATAATAATCAACTCATTAACATCAAATTACAAACAGCATTAAATGCCATCACAGTGATAACACCACGACACACATGCTTTGTGTGAACAATGTGTATTTACGTAGCTCGGGCGATTGACTCTCAATGCGCCTGTCAAACTGACATCCGCCATTATAATCGAATTCAAAACGGCGGGAACTCCTTGTCATCCATTTGACGTTTGACGTGTCAACAATCAGCAAATCCGATTAAGATCGTGTTAGAAATTATCGACTAAACACTGATGGGTTTGTATCACCCACTTAATTTAATTGGGTGCTAAAATTCACTTTAATCTTGACACGATGATCCTTTGACTTTAATTAAATATAAGTAATCGTGTTTAATGTATGTACATAATACCTATCTAATTGATAATGTCTGTCTTTTCCAGCTCCGGACTTCGTGAATTCGTTAGTACACGGAAACTTCGTGTACTTCTTCTTTAGAGAAACAGCTGTTGAATATATAAACTGCGGGAAGGTAAGAATTTTTACAACAAAAAATTGACAATAAATTAGAAGAAAAACAAAAAAGAGTAGGCACAATAACACCCGCCCTGTGTGCTCCGGGCCGAGGTGCCGGACAGTAAACTAACTAGCTGGCCAGCTTCACTTAGAATATGTTCAGAAAAGTCCAGTTTCAATATTATAGAAGAAATTTCATTAATAAAACGTTCATGTCACTGGCACTGGTATATGCGCGGGTATGCACTGTGCCAATAATTCACTGGCGACGTGACACGACATCACTGTTCTAACGCTACACGGTGCATAGCGGCAGCGCTACAACTCATTGCTCGCATGCGGTTTTACTATACCATCCGTATCTCTAAATAAGACTGGAGCAAATTAAATTCAAGCTATACATGCGACTGTATAAATTGACTATATACATAAAAGTGATAGGTAGTTGTTAGTATCTGTATATAAAAAGGTAATAGATGTCTATTGTCGATAGTCATGGGATTTCTCCAAAAGAGGGTAGTATGAAATTTGACTTTTCTATGAGTATGCCCTACACATAGGGCAGCAGGAAAATAGTCGCAATCGAAAGTACTTTAGAATATAGATAGCTATCTGCACTGTATTAGAAATCTAAGGTATAAAAAGTATCATAAAAGTATTTCCTGAATACTTTACAAGGCCTAAAACCACAACAGAAGGCATTGTGATTTAAATTTAAGTTTTCAATGTTATTTAAATTTTCTTTCCACTTTTCTCCAGGCGGTATATTCCCGCGTAGCTCGAGTGTGTCGTGATGACCGAGGCGGACCGCACCGGTTCAAGCAGCGATGGACCTCTTTCCTCAAGTCCAGGCTCAACTGCTCCGTCGCTGGAGACTTCCCCTTCTACTTCAATGAAATACGTAAGTATTGGTGGCTTATTGTGTTTTATTTTACTAAAGTGGAAAACCGAAATCCATTCCGCTTAACGGGAAACATTAAACATTATTTTAGCAGCTTGCCACAACTGGTTAATTCTGCAAAAATAGAGGATTTTTTATACAAACAAGAGTAACATGGACAAATATCTCCAATTTTTCCCATCCCTAAAAAACTGGCAAAGCACTATCAACTCTTCCGCATGAAGATGCAGATGTCCACTGTGCCTATTGCTTGATATCAGTTTATCAGTATATTATTTGTTTGTCGGCCTATATCAATAACAAAACAACTAGCCGATGCCAGTCTATTTTGTTGCAATTTGCACCATCAATCATCATCATCATCTCAACTTAAAACAACGATATTGATAAGCTAAATTTTCAATTACAGAGTCAACAACGGAGCTAATAGAAGGAGTTTATGGAGGTCTGAACGCGCAGTTAATTTACGGAACATTTACGACCCCGCCCAACAGTATATCGGGCAGTGCCGTCTGTGCATTCAGCATGCAAGATATAGCTGACACCTTCGAAGGAACATTCAAAGAACAAAGCGCGATCAACTCTAATTGGTTGCCTGTCAACAGTGCAAAAGTAAGTTCTACGCTATTATATGTTCAAGTACAACATTTTCTTCTTTTTGTACTTTTAACACTCCTTGTTGGGGTTTTTAGTATTCAGATTTCCTATCTATATAAATCATGTAATATCAAATGTTTGACTCATAGAAAACATATTTTTCTAGGTACCAGAGCCCCGACCAGGGACATGTCACAATGACTCTAGACAGCTGCCCGACCAGACGCTAAACTTCATCAAAACACACGCATTAATGGACGAGTCTGTGCCAGCTTTCTTCGGAGAACCCATCGTTATACGAACTAGCTTTCAGTAAGTTTCATAAAATATGCTCTATGTGTAAAAGTTTTAGGGTGCAAATTGCAGTAAGTAATGGTTGTTTGTTTGTTCCAGCTACCGATTTACACAGATAGCTGTAGATCCACAAGTGAAAACGCCTGGTGGGAAAGCATATGACGTTCTATTTATTGGCACAGGTAAGTCTTAACACAAACTGATTGAAAACATTAAATTTAAAAAAATACAAATTACGACAATTTACAACTAACTTTCCTAAAAAAGTTTTACTTATATTATTTAACGTAAATTATTCTTCAACAGACAACGGCAAAATCATCAAAGCCATCAATGCAGTATCCTATGACTCCAACAAACGAGCAGTACCAGTCGTCATCGAAGAGTTACAGGCATTTGCAGCCGGTTCTCCAGTCAGAGCGCTAAGGGTAGCGAGAGCTGGTCGTGATGCCGCCAGACTGATTGCTGTATCAGACAGACAAGTCCTCAGTTTGAGGCTGCATCGGTGTTCCAGTGATAAGATTAGTTCTTGTTCGTAAGTATAATTTGTCAAGCATACCAAGTGTTTTCTAGGAGATTGCAAAACTACCGTCAGAATTTTCACCGCTTGAGAAAAGAACTCGTTATTATAAAACCCTTGAACTACTTTCTCCCTAATATTATTCATATAAGGGAGTAACATTCTATAAATGTGGATGGATGGAGAGGGAGAGGGAGACCAAAGAAAATATGGATGGACTGTGTGAGAAGTGATTTGGAAGACAGAGGAGTTCGCGATAGCGTGACGAGTGACAGGACAGAATGGAAGAAAAAACATATTGCGCCGACCCCAAATTAAACGGGACAAGGGCAGGAAGATGATGATAAGGGAGTAACATTCTATTAATATTAAATAAAGTTGCCACCATTTATTTCAGCGAATGTGTGGCGCTACAAGACCCGTACTGTGCGTGGGACAAACAAGCGGGTCGGTGTCGCGCCTTCTCTCACGGAGTCAGTAGATGGCTGGACGAGAACTCCTTCTACCAGAGCGTCAGTACCGGCAGTCATGCTGCTTGCCCTCACAGTAAGTACTACATCATTGAAAATCTTCATTTCCAAACCAGATCTATTGGCATCTTTCTAATAAAACCATTCTTCCTAATCAAACCCCTCATTAATTATTATGTTTTCGGCTTACTCACGTAATAATTTGACGAGATACTCGACTAGTTTCAAGCCATGCTAGAGGCCCATATTCATGAACAGCATTCCGCGACACGCGACTCAGCGACTGTCGCGCTGCTACTGGCGCGCGACAGTCGCTAAGTCAGTAGCAGCGCGACAGTCGCCATTACGTGAGTAAGCCAAAAACATAATAAATAATTTAGAATGTCTCACGAAAGTTATAATAAAAACCCCTCATTAAATTTATTCAACATTGTCCACCGCGAAATGTTTATAATCAATATAATTCTAGGTAAAGACGCTGGAGCAGTTGGAGGTCTTAGTTCAGGTCTATATGATGACGCCAGAGGGGAGACGAAGGGAGAAGTCATCAACATCGTACAAGACAAAGACGGAAAAGGAGGAGGTGGAGGTAACGAAGGTACTTTTACTGACATGTTTCATTGTTTGATGCAGAACATTGTAGACATGCTTATCATTTCATCTCATTCCGATACATTATCCTCATCATTAAGGACAATAAGATAATAATAAGTGTTTGTTTTTTTATAGGCCCTGAAGTTCTTGCGGCGGATCCCCCGCCAGCAGCTTACTCGGTAGAAACTCTAGCATTAGCAGTAGCCGCTGGTGCTTTAGCAGCACTAGGCGCTGGATTCGCCGCTGGGTACATTTGCGGCAGAAGGTGTAAGAAGGACGACGATGACAATATGCCTTACCCTGACACTGAGTATGAGTACTTTGAACAAAGGCAGAATATTAATAGGTTTGTATTTTGTTGTTTGAATGGACTTTTCAATTCACCAAATCATTTCTAATTCATCACCATCTAATTCATTACTAACATTCTGAACAAATAACAAAATATTAGTGTTCTGTTTTAAGATATTGTTAAATTTGCAAGTACCTTACCTTTTCTTGTTTTGTAGAATTCAAGCAGAACCTAAGCTCCTGCAGCAAGTTGAAGAAGTGACATATGCTGAGCCAGTGCTAGCTCCTCAGCCGAAGCCAGCGTCTCCCCGCGCCACGCTGCGCAAGCACCCCCCATACCACCCTCACCACGAGACGCTGTTCCAGTTCCAGCCAGACGCGTACCGTCGTGACAACTTTGGAACTCTTCGCTCTCATCAGGTCAATGTCAGTTATTCTCTTTTTTATTCTCTTGCATGGCTTGGTATGATCCTTTTTACAGGTATGAGTGAACCTAAATTTGTATGAAAATGTGTCTATTATTTTTAAATAAAATTTAATGGACTTTTATTTCTGTGTGTTCAAAAAAGAATCAGCCGTAATTAGCAACCTTCGTCTGTTATAAATACTTCTTTCTCCACTTCTTTAGATCGTCAATGTGCATGTCTCTATTATTAGTTATAACCACTACTTCTATGACTATAATGCATTTACCCTTTCCTCTAGAATTTATTAATAACATGCTCCAATCTATAATTGAAATAAACCTACAGTAAGTTTTGGACTTCAACTACTATTTTCATTGCCTTGCTCTTCTTCATCATCAGTCGTCTATCGTCCATTCTGCATGATTCATCTAATATCATAGTTCTTATTTTTATCGACATTATAATTTACTATCAAACTAACCTTATAATTAATATTAATTTTCATGTCATTTCCATTGCCTAACCATTACAGTTACTATGTTTGTGAGATTTTCATCATTTAGTTTAGATATAACTTATTTCGATTACTTACACAAGTATTGTTTTTGAGTTATTTGGTAAACTCTGTATTTTTGTAAGGAAATCTCACGTTCATTATAACTTTGATGTTAACCAATCATTGACTCGACTAACTCACGCACGCTTATTCACCTAGGCATGTCAGTTAACACAGGAATATTCGGACCGCAGGGCGATGGGTACAGGCGCGGCAACGACAATGGCTTCTCGACCACGCGCTCAGTGAAGAAAGTGTACCTCTGAGAAACAAGCGGGGCGGATTCGCGCGACCAAATGCATCATCATAAACATAATACGCACCACCACCATACGTTGGGTAAGTTTGAACTTCTTTTACGCATATCCGGGTACTGAAAACGATGTATGTGTGGTTACCTGCTTGCTTGGAGCCGTATGTCTTAAGGTGGTGATTTGATGAGTCCTATTTTTATGTGCTTTTTGTAATTTTACAAGACTATTGTGGTTTAGAGTCTTTAGAGTATGGGCAATGAATAATCCTTGTATTACTTGTGCGGCAGTGTCGCAGCGCAGCAGCGGCTCGGGGTCAGCGTCGGCGAGTGGCGGCGGATCGTCGTCGTCTCCGTCGCCGCCGTCGTCGTCGCCGTCCCCGTCGGGCGAGCGGCCCCCCACGCCGCCGCCGCCCGCGCCGCAGCCCTGCGCCTACATCTACCGCAACTAGCGCGCCGCCCCGCCCCCCTCGCGCCACGTCACACGTCGCGCCCCTTACGTGATAGAGACACCACCCGCTCCCGCGCCCGTGACGTCACTGACACGCGTGATTGAGACATTCCAAAACTAATGACATTGTTATTCGAATCGTTTTCGACTGAGTGACGTTCGATGGAACGCGTTTTGTTATCGCCGACCCTGTAGTGAATACTGTGGACACGACACCGTATCGTATCGTACCGTACGTTGGACATGTTGAGCTTTATCCATTACGCAACTTCGGAATGGCTGAATTCTAAAACATTTGTAATTTGATAGAATAGGTACTATGTATATTTAAATGTGGATTGTTATAACAAAGAAATGCTATTACAAAACATTCTTCCATGAAAATAAATATACGTACTGGTAATTTATCCACAATCTAAATTGATCGGATCTATGGTCAGAGGATGTGAGAAAAAATATGTATTTTTTTTAAAAGACGGAACAATATTATCGATTGATAACTATAAGATGAATAATGTAACAAATTGTAGATTGTTTAGAATATACATAGTTTACAAATAATGTAGGGAAAATATAAGTTTTTGTTGGTAACATGTTAACGAATAGTTAATTTAAAAGTGTGACCATCATTGCAGTTATTTCAGCAAGTTCTGCCAGCATTGTTGTCGACAAAATGGAAGAGTTGCAATGGAGTCACTAAACGCTTTTTTACATAACTACAATTTTTAGCATTACGTCATTAAATTAAGGAGGGTTCTCTTATTCTAAAGTTTTAGAGTTACTATAACTTGACGACATTGGGGGCAACACCGCTGAGGTCACCAAATTATAAATTAATACTTACGTCAAATGTTATGTTCAAATGGAGAAATATATATGTGGTGTTGCATAATGTTGCCGAGCTATATCTAGTTTAAACAATGATTATAACATTATAGTTGAAACAATGACATAATGAAACACAAAAATATGATATAAATTATATTTACCATGTATAAAATGATATGTAAAGTTCTGACTTATTCATTCATTAAAAAGTGCTTCTTATGGGTGTATTTAGATAACTAGGAGATCGTTTTGATAATTATTGGATAATGTTATAGAGTTAGCTTTATGTATACATAGATACATTATAATAATAGTTAAGGCGGCACTGTGATGCCACTTTGCCAATTTAGATTGTTGGTGCGCCATTGTATAGTTACAAACCGGTAACTGTGATCATTGTGTACATACATTCTGTGACACCGACGAGTGACGACGTCTCCTTTTGTCTACTGTCGTTTCTATAAATTAAACTTTCCAGAAATGTGGGCCAAACGTTTGTAAAAATCCTTTTTCGAAAGACGTTCCTGTTGCTAATTTTGTAATTGCCGAGGATGTAGTATTCCCTCGTTGAATGATCGCTTTATGAATAATTTTGTAAACTAGCTAGCAGTTACTTTCGACCCCGATGTTGTATAGTGTTCAGACTCACCTTCGCTCATTGTTGACAATTGAATGTGTGTAAAGAAAATGTCAATTCTATTTGTAATGACTTAGTGCCTAAGTGTGTGTGGCAGGATTGTAATTTGTACACTACAAGGATTCAGTTTTTCTTTTGACTGATATTAGTGCGGACACTAGCGCGCCTTTAGAGTAGCGATTACAGTAGACAAGATGTAATGAACACGATAGATATTGCCTCAGAACTCTGATGAGATCTCCTACATCACAACACAACTGACAATTTATGCAAGGAATGGTGTAAAAACATTGTCTCTTGATCTGGAGATTGTAAGCTTGTCAGAGTTATTTGGCAGTAAATAAAAGATAATTTTTATACGCCATAATAATAAAAAAGGGCATTCTCGACATTGCCTTCATAATACTCAAATTTATTTCATTTTATATAAAATACCAAAGATGCCATGATTTTAATGTAAATTATTTATTTATATAAATTAGTGTTTGCTAATGACGTAATTACTTAATCAAGTTGTTATTTTATATGAATATAACTGCCAATTTGTATACTTACTTTATAATTAACCAAAGCAACGCACAGATTATTTTTTAAATTAATTAATCCCTATGAAAATGTAGATGCTTTAACATGGCAGAATCGTTCGGAAAATATTTATGTACGGCTATGAAAATGGCAATTTGAAATATTTATGTATTTAAACTCTAAGCTTGCAGTCCTTAGTAAGTAGTATAAAAGTATTTATCCTGTTACAGATTTAATGTTATGACGTCATAAGAGTTGATTGTATTTATAGCCCGTTCGTTAAAAACTGACTCTTTAGCGACACACTTTGAAGTTGTCGACTCGTACAAGGGGTTGCCACTCAACTTTATTCAACCAGTACCTCAATGTTGCCATTTTCACAGTTTGTAATGAGCAAAATTAATTAACACGTACATACGTAAGTGAGGCTAGTACTTGTAAATAGCAAGTTCTGTAATGTAATTAGTTTTCGTCGAGTAAATAATTTAAGCGTTAGAGTTTAAGCGCAAGACATTTTTGAAAGTGAATTGTTAAGAATTGTTTTTGTATTACTTAAAAATAATATTGATGAAATGTACAATAACCATTTCTACGTTTAAATTACTGAACCACCTTTTTATACTCGTAAAGTTAATTGTAATCATAAACATGCCTAGAAGTTTCTTGTACTAAGCGTAAATATTGATTTATAATATATTGAAAATTATATAGATCGTATCGTAATGTAGAATATAATAGACAGCTTAATTTTGGTTGAAACTCGAAGCCTTAGTGTTAGAAATTGAAGACTTTTATTGAAATAAAGGAATAAGTAACAGATTGGATTTAATAAAAACAATCCACAACTTTTATTAAAATATAATGATAAGGTATAACTCGTTACGTCACGTTACTCTCAAACTATCCATCACATAACTATTATATGTTATAGTATCTATGTAAATATGGAAAATGAGTTCTAAAGACAGGCGTGTAAGAGCCACTTTTCACTGAGACATGGTATAGAGTTTACCTACGCGACACGCTACTCGTTAAGAATTTACAGAACGTTAAAGTATACCTTAATAAATTATATTCACGTTTAATAAGTATTGCCTTAGTGCAAAATTAGATATTATGCCACGATACTCAGTGAACTGTAGGCCAATAACATAAGGAAGTAAGTCAACTAACTTTGGTTTCGCTGCGTGCAATATTTTTCTACTTGGAAAGTTTTCTCGGAATTCTAATTTCAAAATTATACGTTAAAATTTTAAAATTAGAATTGATGGCAGCGCATTTTGTGTTTACGGCGTTAGGATTTCTTTATCACAAAATGTGATTGATTAATAAAATTGTAGGTAGAAAATCGAAATAAAAATAAATTACTTCCTATAGATATGTAGGAATAATAAAAAATGATGTTACCATTTAGAGCCGTTGATTGTATTTTCACTAAACACTTCACACTCGAAATCAAAGCATTTTGTGATAAAGGAAAGCAAGACGGTATATCATGAAGTAACTATGGGAAGTGCCTAACTATATTACCTATTTGCACCTCTAGTACTACGGACCCCGTTATCTCCCATGAACCGACCATTATCTCATAATCAGATTTGTAAGCATTCGTTTAAATTTAATCTATGTTTTGTCCGCCATGCAGTTGTTAACAGACCGAATATAGCTTAAAATTAAACACTTATCTTCCGTGCTAAGTGATAGTGAGTTTCTAATAGTGTGCCTTTAGTATCGCATAGTTACCGCCCTTTAGAAACTCGAAAAAGAATATTGGAATAGATCAATCAATTTATTTTTGAACCTCATAAACAGTTATACTTCGTACAATTTTACTAGTAGTCATAAAGTATACGTCATCATTTTTACAGATAAATTCACTTAATACATTACCTTACCTGTTATTCCAATTCACTATTTCTATACCTGATGATAGTTTGGTAATCTATTATAAACCTATGATTATAAACCTCTTCATTCTCATTAACTCATTACCGTTTTTGTACTAACATTTTATTTGCTCTTTTCTCCTGCGACATTGAAGATGTAGTCTCTGTCTTGAGACTAATCTATGTCCCTAAACAAACTCTAGAAGTCGAAACATTGTTTAATCTTAAAACAGAGTCTAATTTTAGTTTCTTTTAAGGCATAGGTTTAAGTAGGGGTTTTATAAATAATAATGCAAACGCAATTGCAGTGATAGAACTGTTACACCTTATTCGCTGCCCGTATTTATAGAGTGCAATTTTTTTATAACTAGAGACGAATAGATTGTAAAACATTGATTTGCAAAATATGAAATAAATAGCTCAGCGGAGCAACGTTTTATATTTTACTCTTCATTGTTTGAAATGTTATGATCATTTTCTCATTAAAATATTATTAATATTATGCTAAATATTTTAGCAAAGGATAAAAATGTATTCCTTTTCTTTAGTAAATAAAATATTGAAACTCGAACTTCTCTTCTTTCATTTAAGTACCTTGTAAACTACTTTGACCTCTTCTACCGGCAGTCCCTAAGCAATACGACCTTTGGGTATGGGTTTTTTTTGGGGTTGGAATTAGGTTGCCTAATTTAGAAGAACATAGGACCTCATACTAAATGTGACCCCACTGTGTGTGTGCTCACTTTCACTAATAATGTTAAGAATCCCTTATAATAAAAAGGGTGCAGAAATAACCTGTTAAATAATGTATGATTAAACTGCAAACATTATATTATAGGTCATTTCCCTAGGCACAAGAGCACCTATGTCAAAAATACTTGAAAAAACAAAACGGTAAACCTAATCGTTATGTCTACATCTATACAAGGTAGGGACGCTTTTCAATATTATTTGTGAAACCTATAAAACACAATAATATTTTGAAAATAAAAAAACCGACTTCAAAAACAAAAAAAAAGTGTCAAATAAGTAATTAAAATTGATATTTTAATAGCACTCTTACGTACGCGAAGCTAATACTTTTAATATTAATAATAAAACACTATCAATTCTATGTGCTACCTATTCATAGGTTTGAATTCGGTGCCAAGCCTAATACATAATATAATAAGCATGATTACATGAGTACCTAAACTCGCCGGACGCGTTTGAATTTATTTGTTAGGATTTAAGAAATTTAGTACAGATTTTCTAACTTGATGGCGTTGGCGAAGAATCAGAAGTCTATATGGTTTCGTTACCGGCGAAACTGTATATAGCTTAGAATTCTGAAAGTTTTCTCGTACTTGGTTGTTAAAAGAAGTAGTAGGTAGCGGCGTTGTTAGTTGTGGAAATTTCGTCTTTTAGCAGTTAAACAGTCTTAATTCTCATTTAGTTTTATTCTGTTTAGGGCTTGGCACCGACTTCAAACCTATGAATAGGTAGCACATAGAATTGATAGTGTTTTATTAATATTAAAAGTATTAGCTTCGCGTACGTAAGAGTGCTATTAAAATATCAATTTTAATTACTTATTTGACACTTTTTTGTTTTTGAAGTCGGTTTTATTAAACGTAGTTTTTTTTTTATTTTGTTCTATTTAGTGTCTGTTGCAAGTTCTTCTGTAAACTACAGTAATATTTTAAATATAAATTAACATATTGAATAGTATATATTTTTAAGTAGCTATGTGTAGGCCAACGAAAGGGGCCGGACGATTAAAAAATATAGATCCCAAGAAATGGGAAAGTTCTCATCATCATCATCATCATCATCAGCCATTTTAATGTTCCCACTACTGGGACACAGGCTATCTCTCTAGGAGAGGGAAAGTTCTTAACAATATAAATAAATTAAGTCCAAACACGAGGTAGCTACTGTAAACCGTTGAGGAGTACCCTAGACTGTCGTTCGTCTTTATCATCAGATCCCTAATGACAGTCACAATCCATCAAGGTGTAAAGTTCTCATCAAAACGAATAAATTAAGCTCAAACACAAGGAAGCTGCTAAGAATCGTTGAGGAGTTCTCTCGACTGTCTCTCGTTTCCATCCGGAATCCCCTCGACGGTCAATTGTCTCCATCATCAGGTAAACTGCAGACCTTCAGTTGTTATGATACATACCTACAGGTAAAGTTTTCATCAATATAAATGAATTAAGTTCAAACACGAAGTAGTTACTGTAAACCGTTCAGGAGTTCCCTGAGCTGTCCTTCGTTCTCATCATCAGACCCTTAATGACAGTTACGACCAAGCCTGCTGCAAAGTGCTCGCCAATACGAATCATTTAAGCCCAAACACAAGGCAATTACTCCAAATAGTCAAGGAGATCCCTCGACTGTCTTCCAGCTCCAACATCTGGTCGACTTCGACCTTCGTCAAGTTGTAGTGTTGTTAAAGGCCTACTTAAACATCATACAAAAAACCTACTCGCTCCTACAATTTTCGAAAGTTCCCCTCGGTTTCTGCAGGATTCCATCATCAGATCCTGACCTCATGACAATGGGACCAAATAGCAAGTATACCCTATCGAATAAAAAAAGAATTTTGCAAATCGGTCCAGGCGTCTTCGCTTGCGCGCTGCGCTTACGGTGACCGGAGATCGTCGCTCGATCCCGACGCCCGGAGTTTTCCATAGTACAGCGACTGAGGCGTGATGACGACGGTTCCCTAAAGCGCTGCGCCGCTCCATTGCGTGCATCATTGCTTCGCAGAGACGACTTCCCAGTTCCTCTATCTACGCACTATGTCCTCGACTAAAGCCTGACGCGAGGGGTCGCTACCGCCGATCACTTCACTGAGAACACGACGGCCAGCAGCAGGGCACTCCTCCACTGTGTCCTCCGATAGTCCTCGCAATGACGACACCCGATGATTCGCGCGCCATTGCGTCTCTACCGCGCACAGCCCTCAGTTGTGACAGAAGTTGTTTATACTCTACAATGTAATCGCATCGAATCAATTTATAGAACTGGGTTAAGCACAAATTTGTGGTTTTTTTGTGAGGGGAAAATCATCAAATGACTTCTCCCGCCCAGGGCCGGGCGGGGGGGAGTGTCAGACTCTTACTGACTAAAAACCCCCGTGTTCCTTCTCCTGCTCTGGGCCGAGGTCGCGGTGCCTCATTGCGCCTACCCCGCAACCCCGGCTGACACAAACTTGTGGTACGGTGCGGTCTCAACAGGTCGATATTGATAAGCAAGTTGGTAGCGGACAATCGTGCCAATCTGATTATGCACGTATATCATAATATCAAATCATAGGCAATATGCCTATGATTCTGTTTAATCTATCCAATATGTAGACAATTTTTTGCGGGAATGACGAGCCTCCTAATTAATGCCCTTATAGTTGAGGAGTAGTCCCTTAGTTCCAGGGACCCCTTCTTAAATCCATTTTGGGAATTAAGCAAAATGGAGATTTTTCAGTTTTGTTATTTTTGTCCTAAAACTGGTAGCAGAAAATTATAGACCTTCGTCAAAATGTTTGGGTTCAGTAGAACTATTTGCCATATTATGTTTAATCTTATAAAAACGTTGCCTCACACTTGGATTTTCTCGGTATTCGTGAGGACTAGTTTCAGTCCCCACAAATGTGCGTCTAACAAAGTGCATACTCTAAGGCAAATGTTGCCCTCCCTGCAGGATAGTTTGCCAATGAGCATCTTGGCCTCTCCGATTCAACGCTCAAGCATGCGCTGTCAGGCAGGTGCCTCTTTAGAGTATAGACAGAAAATAAGATCATTGGAGATTAGTGATTTCTTCTATAGATTATGGTATGATTTTGACAGTTACATAAAGTTGACATTGACACTGACAAATTACCTTGTGCTCATCTCATTCTATTTTCATTCGCGAAAAACCATGTGTGTATTGTTTACTTATATTATTTTACTTTGAAAAAATGGAAAACAGTGTCGTGAAAAGCTTTGCGGTTAATTATAAGTCCATAATAATAGATGAAATCGCGTTAGAAGGCTTAGAAGGTACAGGTATTGATTTGTTATGGAGACGAATACAAAAACGTATTTGTTCAGACTTAACAGAGAAAATGAAAGTTCGTTACTGGAATTATATTGTAAATTCTGGTAAAGTGTCTTTCTACAAACTGCCAGAACCACTGCCGCATTTCGAACTACTGGATAGATTCGAAATTATTGATGAAGCAACCGGCCACCTGAAAGAACCTGTAAGTTTATATAATTACCCTAAAATACCACCAAGAAACCTTTTGCCCTGCTTCTCTTTACTAATATGTTATTTAATAATATTTAGGTACTTAAGACTTCATCAAGTACAAAATCGTTGTATCTTAAAATTAAAAAAATAATCTCTATAATAAAATTGCAGGATGTATTACTAGATGGTCCATACGAATATAAGCCAATAGAAGGCGAACATGGTTCCTGTAGATACTATGAAACACGAATATTAATACCAATAGAGTACCTTCATACAAAAACTTATAAAGAAATAATGACAGAGTATGGGGACACATTGGTAATTGTTGCGAATGAAGAAGAGAGGTGGCATGCACTGGCCCCACACTTACCGATAAGTACTATTGCTAATTTAACCAATATACATTATTGTATGTTGGAGCTAATTGGTAGATCTAGAGATAATGTAAGTGTTCTGTTCTTAATAATATCATACTTTTTATGTGGTTTATATGGTAGTTATTGTATTTATTTTTTGTGTAAAATATCATTTATTTTTTGTAGTTAGATAGCTGTTTCTATTGCATATTGAATATATTTTTGTCATTATTATAGGAGTTAGTGACAAAAGAATATGATTTCATCTTTGTGAAATCTCACCTTTTTTTATGATTATTTGCTGAATATGTGTTTATTGTTTTTCTGTTGTGAATAAAGTATTAATAAATCTCAAATAATTTTAGGTTCTAACTTTGTACAACTTTCACATTATATATTAATTTTTTTCCAGGGTCAATCAACAATAGGTCTAACAAATCTGAACAAAATAGTCAAAGATCCAAAAACACTGTTCTATAATAGAAAATATTTAAGAAACCAGGACCTGATTAAGACAAGTCTTGTTACGGAAACTATAGCAGGGAAAGGATTTAAGGCACTATTGGTTCGACTAAAGAGGTTTAATCAACCCAGTGTCTTGACTATGCCCAAAGTGGGCATACTACACAATGTTGTAGAATATCTCCTACAACAACCAAACTTCAGTGAAAAGACTGAAGTTATAGTTAAAAAAGGTCTTATATCCCAAAAACAAAACAGAAGACTGCAAAAAACTGTGAATATTTTCAATTTTGTAAGTATCAATTTCTAATTTTAATTTAATAATAAGGTTGACAATCAATTATACATAGTTCAAGTCTAACTATCATCAAGATTTTTTTACAATCAAATGTTTATATAAACATACACAAACCATCCAATTAAGTATATTAAGTAGTCAAAATGAATTCCTTTAATATTACAATACAATAAATCATTAAAAAATAATCATACTTCATTGATGGATTTGACAATATACTTAATTTTCGATTGTTATTGTTTGGGATAAGTATGCTGTTTGACCCAAAAATATGATGAAATCACTTTTCTGTTTTCCATACCAAATTTATAGGACAGTTTCGTTTTTGACATTTCAATAAAGGTATTCAATTTGACTAGTATACAAATACCGTATTCACTTAGAAGGTAATAAATGGCATTATACTTAGAAATATCTCCAGAAGATGATTATGAAATTGCTTTATGATAAACCTATGTAAACAAAGAGGCTAAAGCTACAATTTTTTTCATTTTATTTTTTTATATTTAAGTACTTTTTTATCTATTCAAATGCAAATAGTATCAGTTTGTAAAAAAATAATAAAGAAATAACAATATTGCCCTGCAATTTACAGGAAGAAAGAAATATAAAACCTGATGAAAAAAATAAATTGAAAACAAATATTAAAAGAAAGTTCATCTACCTTTCATCTCGGAATGATGAGTCCTCAGAGTCTGATGAGGAGTCACAGGAACCTCTGATGAAGTGTCAGTACAAAGTTGGTGTAAGCCTTTTGCGACAGGCTTATGAAAGGTTTCTTGATGCAGGCCTTGAAGGCCTCACGCAGGTCCAATTGGCCCAACAGCTTGGTGTGGAGTTCTATACTAGTAGGGGTATATGTAGAATGTTCAGAATCAAAAATATTGTTAGAGAATTTCTTGAAGATAAAGGAAAGCAAAGAACTGCTAGGTAAGATAAAAAATAGCTTTTGTAGAACCTTTTTCTAAAATATTACTATTACCATTTAGTTATATAAGTATTTAAGTAACAAGTTGATATTACATTTCAGTTGTTTGTGTAAATATCCATATTTAATTTTATCATTAGTATACAGGGTGTAAAAAGACACTTAACGAAGCCGTTAACTGCGCATACTGCAGTTGTAACTAAGTAGCTTTACGCTAAAATTATCACTGGGAAACGACTTTTATTTTTATGTATCAAAAAAAAATATTTTATTGCACGCAATGTAAAGCAAACGGGCTTCGTGTCACTGTGTGCGTAGGTTAACAGCTTAGCATTAAAACGCTGTGATAAGTACGTAGGTCGACGTTTTACTTCGCAACAACAAAACAATTCTGTAAAATAAAAATCCTACTGAGATGCACGATGTTCTTTGTGCGGGTCTGCATTTATGTATTACGTACATTACTGTTCGTAACTTCAAATGCGTAATTTATTTAGAAAAATCGAAAGTTCAGGTAATGTTTGTTTGGAAAAAAGTTTTGTAATAATACTTAGAATTCGATTGCGCAAAAAAAAAGAAAATTAAAAATGCATCTTTGACCTTCAATATCTCGAGAACCCGTGAAGTCCCAGCTATGGTCTTAAAGAAAAAAATGATCCAAATAATGGATGGAATACGTGGCTTTCGGCTTCGTTAAGTGTCTTTTTACACCCTGTATATCTATACTATACCATGGCATCGCGCTTTGTAAACCCCGGTACGCACTGCACATGTTGAATGATACTGTTAATGACTGATTCCAGATTCATAGCTAGAGCAATAAAAGGAGATATGGATGTTAAATACACAGAAGAAAAACAGAAATTCCTGGAATATTTGAATGAATTACGTGTCCCGAGAGAGGAAGCCGAGCCTTCTGAAGATGAAGTACCAGCTAAGAAAATGAAACTAGAAACACAGCCTTCTACTAGCAGTAATCCTACTGATGTAACCAAAGAGAATTCTGACGAAGATATTATTGCCGACGTAGATATGACCCCAGAAAAAGTAATCACGGAAGTAAAAGTTCTCGATGGTATTGAAAAAACCAAAACCCTTGGAAGCTTTACAAGGAACCCAACTTTGAGGCAGCTGACTTTCGCAAATGGTGTGTTCAAAGTCCTCAAGAACAAACTATGTGTCAGCGGCTATATAACGCTCAGTAACCTCGCTTCCAAAGAAATCAACGAACCTCCCATGGACACAAAAGCCCTTAAATCATTCATACAGAAACTTGTTACTGATGGCCATATCAAAATTTATAAAATTAAATGGCCTGGCATGCAAAAGTACTCGGTCTTTATTTGTGCCCCTCACGTCAAAGCCACAGATCCCATAATAAAAGCGAAGTATAAAGAGATATGCATGAGAGCAGTAACTAACAAAAGAGTTGCAATCAAAAAAGAAATCGCAGAAAATATTACTCCTACTATAACACAATTCGCGAACCCACGATATATGAAAATACAGAAACTTCATGAATTCCTCACAAAATTTGCCTACTTTGAGCATGTCAAACCAGAATCGCATTCATTACCTGCAGGCTTCGTCAGCATCGTTGATTTCATACAGGAAGTAACGATAAAATTCGCTATCCAAAACATGGGCAGCACGGCACTTGTAGAAATTAATCAGTTGGTCAACCAGAGCCAGCTAGATATCAAACTGAAAGATGCTCCGCCACACATTTACAAAGCTCTGATGAGGTCTTGCACGCTACAAAATGCAATAAGACTCAATTTGAAAGTACTAGCAATGTTGGGCCTTATCCAACTAGTTCGCCCGCCGAATCAGACGACAAATAACATTGGCTTCATAAATTACACCAGCTTTCTGTTCTATGTGAATCGAAACGCCAAAATAATAGACACCACTGGCATTTGGCCCAGGGTAATAGATGACAAAATCAAAGAAAAATCTTATTATTTTGAAACGTTTGAGGATGTCACGCGATATTGGCTAGACGTGTTTCAGATAAGCGTAAATACCACTATAGAATTAGAAAAACGAGGCAGAAAGCAACTCCAACCGCCGCAGCGGCTTGAGGACGAGGTATTTGCCCATGACAACGGCGTTCGCTATGGTGACGGCAATGGACCATGTGGATTCGACTCCTGTTTCTACATGGAAATCCCTCGCCTCTGGCAGACATTCTACATGCGACCCATGCAGTCTCGTAGCTCACCGAAAAAGGGCAAGATTCAGATAAAAATCCCCAAAGTAAAGAAAAAGACTAAAGTAAAACGGGAAGTTAAAGTAAAGGCAGCTCCAAAAACGGTGGTTGACAAACCAGCAAACGACAAATTAACCCGTAAGCGAAATGATACTACGATAAAATGGTCGAAATATGAAGATTTGATTATTACTATTTGTAAAGCTGCTATAACAATATTGAGTCCTAGTTCACAACCCGGCACTCTCATTGTAAGAAACATAGTTGCTAAAGATTTACTCTCTATCAAGGATCCTAAAAAGACCAAAAGCGTGTGCCATAGTAGAGCTTCAACGCTAGAAACTAATCTTACACTCATTCATGAAAAGCACTGCATTATTAATGAGCTTAAAAGAAGACGAAATATATTACAAAAATATGAAGGTTTGTTGAAGAAACTCAGACTGACATACTCGACTAACATGACAAAGTTCATCAACAAGGCGCGCCTACCCATGATGGAATTAGTTTGGGTTATATTACAAGTGATGAAGTCTAAGTCCTATATACAAAAAGTGCCATGTGTGGCATCGAACCTGGAAGATTTCTATGAACATTTCACGATCATAACATCTACTGCCAACAAATTGTGCAACATGTTCAAAGTGCCCGAACATGTCACTTTGAAGGAAGCTGTAGTCCTCACTATAATGCAAACAATAGACTCGGAAATTAGTACTGAATTGGGTAAAAAAATATATAAGACTTTCGAGGGGTACCCTGAGGCTGCCGTGAGGTCCGCTGTAGAACAACTTCGTAAGTGCGGCGCCATCGCAGCTAAAGAGAAAATATTCAACAATCAAATGCGAAAACTTGATTTAGAAGACATTTGCCAGTCCTCGTATAAGATATCCGCGTTCTATCAACGCAAATGGGTGAGTCGGGTGAACTCCGAATTTCTGGATAATTTGAGTACTTTACTGGATGTAGAGCAAACGGAGAATGAAGTCAAAGGCTCAGCGGAAATCAATTGTTTGTACTGTGAAATGAATGCGTATGACATTATAGACATAGTGTCGACCAGTGCTCCGCTCATCACAGACGCTGCGGGCGCGCCCATCATGCCAGAAGAAATAAACGTACTAGTCATCGATACAAAGTACCGGTTAAAAACAGGAACCTTAAGATGGAAAAATAAATCAAGTTTGTCAAAAATGTCTGAACTTTATAGTCATATGAATCTTGATCACAGTGTGAAATATTTATCCAGGTAAGCAACTATCGGGATCACACTAAATTACACTTTTGAGTAGTAAAAAATGGTATGGTGTTGTAACAGTTTTTCACTCAATAAATTTGGCTTATTCAAATTTACATCGTCGAAATTGCATAATGTACTATTCCAAATCTCTTTTCACAGTTATACTTCAGTGGATACTAAAGAAATTAAACAGAATGTCGATACAAAAGACCCAATACTAAAACATCTAGATGAAGTGGGAGAAAAAGGAGCGTCATTCGACGAACTACAGGTATCATAATAATTTTATTTTAATATTGTATTCTGTAATCCACTTTATCATTGGTTAATCGTCACGAAAAAGTTTTATACACATAATGGATTCCATTCACAGTCTCACAAGTAAATTGCAATAGTAGATGTAAAGCAAATCAAGTTTTTCTAGATTATTACGCATTTTCAAGGAATAGGCTGGTAAAAGAACCGACTACCACTGTGGATCATCTGATTGTAAGCAATCAGGGCTGCCCATAGAAGCCTTTAACACCAACGAAGTGATAAGTGCTTTGCCGCCCATTTGTGGGTGGTTGGATATTTGATGGAGTTTCTTACTCGTTCTTCTCCATTCGAATTTACGATTTTTTTACTATTTTCACGTTCCAAAAGTTCCTATTTATGGTTTATTTGGAATAAATGACTTTTGACTTTGAGGATGAAAAAGATAAGGATTAGGGCTCCAGTAACCTCATTCACATGTCAAAATATAACGCAAACGTTGTTATTTTATACTGTCATACCGTTGTGTCATGTAGCGGCACTATCACGTCGCTACATTACTTAGATACGATAGAGATAAGACATACATGTTAATTGTTGCACGTTTGTTAGGATAGCTAAATCTGAAAATCTCACGCATCTTCTTAGTATATAAGCACCAGCAATTAAAGTAATAAACAGACCTTAACCATCTACAGTCTCATTATTTACCTTGCCACGAAGTCTGGCAAATTGGTGACCCGACGAAGAACAATCAACATGACTCATTCACCCTGCAAATCAAGCAGCAGCCAACAAGAAGCCTTGGAGATATCAGCCGGAATTTTGGAGGGACCAACCCAGATTATGGTTTAAGCAACTAGAAGCCATAGTAGCACCACAGAAGCAAGGAGACGATTACAAGTACTATACGGTCATTGCAAAACTGCCAAAAGAAGAAATAATACAGGTTAGTGACCTCATTACTTGCCCACCGCCAATAGAAAAGTACAAGGCTATCAAAGAACGCCTAATCAGTTGCTATGAGGAATCAGACCAACGTCAGCTCCAAAAATTATTGTTTGAAATGGATCTCGGCGACCAGAAACCATCACATCTTCTGCGCAAGATGCGGACCCTGAGTAACGGAAATATCAGCGACGAAACCATCAAACTTCTATGGTTGAGGCTTCTGCCACCATCAGTGACTTCGGTTCTAGCAGTCACAGAAGACATAGATGTGAACAAGATGAGCCAGATCGCGGACAAGATATTAATAAATTCAACACGTACAGAGGTGTCAGCTGTAAACGGAAACAAATCTGGCGACGATACAATGTCATGCATACTAGCACAGTTAGCAGAAATGCAATTGGAACTAAATGCAATTCAGCAAGGTCAAAAAAAACTATCGACGCAGCACTCAAAGTTATTCCAATCGTCGGCATTTCCTACCACAGTCAAGTTCAAGAGAAAGAAGGCACTTTTGTTTTTACCATGGAAGATTTAAAAAATATGCACAAAAGTGTGTTCAACCTTGTGATTGGAAACAGGATCTCAACTCAAGGAAACAGGGAAACTAATTGAAGCACGGACAACGGCGGAACTCTGTGCTATTCACCCGTCCAACCGCCTCACTATTACCGACCGAAAAAGTGGTATGAGATTTTTGATTGACACGGGAGCAAATATTTCAGTTATTAGCAAGCCACAGAGACATTCACTAATACAAGATGAACAATGTGTACTTTATGCCGCCAATGGTACAAAAATTAAGACATATGGTGAAAAAAAACACTCTCTTTAAACTTCGGGCTACGAAGAAACTTTGTATGGAACTTTGTCATCGCCGATGTAACACAACCGATTATTGGAGCAGATTTTTTAGAGCATTATAAGCTATTAGTCGATATAGCTGGTCGAAAACTCATAGATAGGGTAACTGAGCTGACAACGCCCGCAACCCTGATCAAATCGACGCAGCAAACAATCCGCACTATTAACATTGAGACGAATCCACGCATTACTCAACTATTAAATGAATACGAGAGAACAATGGGCAACCAAAGCTCCAAAGATCAAATCGTATATAACTCCGACAGTTGCCTTAATCAAAATGAAGCCGACCATCTCAAAAGTCTTGTCCTGGAAGAGCTACGGTGGACGAGAAACATTGCAATTGGACAAATCCTCATCACAATTGGCATCCTTCTTCTCTACGGAATACTGAAGACCTTAGACAGAAGAGTGAAAACAATAGCAAGAAACAATCAGCACAAATGCAGTGGATAGTTCATCGACTGCCGCCGCCGTCACAACAAAGGCAGCAGTTTTTATTTCCTTCGAATTAGCAACAATGACATTACATTACGCATAGGATGTAATTTATCAGCAAGGTTAAGTTATTATATAATTAGGTACATACTAATTTTTTTCAATTTATATGTTAATTATTTTTAAAAGGGGGGAGTATATGTAGCGGCACTATCACGTCGCTACATTACTTAGATACGATAGAGATAAGACATACATGTTAATTGTTGCACGTTTGTTAGGATAGCTAAATCTGAAAATCTCACGCATCTTCTTAGTATATAAGCACCAGCAATTAAAGTAATAAACAGACCTTAACCATCTACAGTCTCATTATTTACCTTGCCACGAAGTCTGGCAAATGTCACACCAATTGAGTCGGACTATACGTGTTGAAGCTTGGCTCTTCCAAACATAAAATTCGTATCAACTGATACCTAAACAAAGATTCTTCTGTCTTATACAATAGTCTTCTTTTAATGTTAATAAAAATATATTATTTTTACAGAAACTTTCTGCAATGAGTGAAAAGGAGTTAATCGAAAAATTGCAACAATTAGAAGATAAGAAGATTTTGAAACGAGTTGGATTCTACGAAAATGTTTTAGTATTATCTAAGTATTTAGCTCCATGGTCGATAAAAGTAGGGGAGAAATACATAATAGTTACTCCTTGGTTGACTCTAACGGGTAAAGCAAGGCCGGATATATTTTTCAAGTGGTGTGGTGTTATAATGAATCTTATATTCGAAAAGCCAGGTTGCTCAGTGACCTATTTAGCTGACAAATGCGAGTATTTAACGTACAGATCAGCGCAAGATGTTTGCATGTTCTTAGAAAAATATGAATGTATAAAACTAGCTATGGTAAACCTCCAACCAGTAGATTTATTTTCGGACGAAGACCACGATCCTGAAATGACAGACTTTAATCCCTATGGGTCACCCGAGAAAATGATAGCGCATCCTATAAAAAATTCTCTAACAAAATATTGTTATATTAAGAAAAAAATTTTAGGATCGAAGTCAAATGACGCTTTAATGGATAAGTTATTTAAATGTTAACTCTCAAACATATGTTATTTTAATATATTCAAGATAAAGACGATTAAGACCTAAATGTAAGTGGTGTTTTTTATTACAACATACAAAAATCAAGCCTTTATATCATGGGGCAGAAGCCTTAGAGCCCTAGTCCTCCAGTATACGAGATCAAAAAGCTATTAAATTATGTAAAACCTTCTGAAAAATACCAAGATACCTAGTTATACCTACCTATAAGTGTGAGAGAGACATGCTTCGGCACGAATGAATAGGCTCGACCGGAGAAGGGGAGAGGAAGGATTCGTGTCAAACGACCCAGTCCTTCCTGTCCCCCATCCCTTCCCAATCCCAAAATCACCAGAACCCCTAAAAGGCAGACCAACGCGCAACTCTTCTGGTGTTGCGGTTGATCGGCTTCAATTGCTTTTCATCAGGTAATCAGTCCGCTCTCGTATGCAGCCGTATTCTTGATTCTGACAATAATAAACTTAATTGGTCATCATGAAATTGTAAAGTTTATAATATTGCTACTATAATAAAATTAACCAGTTTATTGAGTAAAAATAGTAAAATAATTGTCGTACTAAAATGTTTTTCAATAATTCTTTCTCCTGAAATTTTAAATACCTACATTAATAAAAAAAATATTATTAAAAAAACAAAATACCCGACTGCACACTAAAAAAAGAGTAAAACAAGCCCCACAATACAAATTTACTGAATATAATTTATAAATGTTGATGGAAAGCATCGCAGGCGGGGACCAACAGAGGCTTATTTATAGTCATTTCTGTTGTGCACCATTTAGCAGAATTTTCGTTGGTGGCGGTCAAGGTGGTCCCCGCCTGCGATGCTTTCCATCAACATTTATAAATTATATTCAGTAAATTTGTATTGTGGGGCTTGTTTTACTCTTTTTTTAGTGTGCAGTCGGGTATTTTGTTTTTTTAATAATAATTTTTTTATTTATAACTTTTTAGCTGTTTTTATTTAACGTTACTCCCGTGATTGGAATGAATCTAATGATACCGCATACATATTTTTTTAAAGGGAAATTTAGAAAAAATATTATTATGTCTTTATCCCGTGGGACTTTTAGGATAAAATGTATCCTATGACACTCCCGTAATCAAGACAAATCTAACGATACCTCATACATCAAAATCCATCAAGCCGTTTAGGCTACAGGAGGTCACAAAGGAAAAGACATACATACATACTTACATACACTCGAAAAACATTACCCTCCTTCTTTGGCAGTCGGGTAATAATACAACTCCACGTAATGAAACCTTAGTACCTCGGAACAAATGTGACTTATTTTTCAAACATCAGTCACAATCGCAATCCTAACTTTAGAAAATCACAAACTTTACAATGACTAAGTCAAATTCAAATGTAAGTAAGTGATTAGTGGATCTTTGAATTTAAACGTAGGAGAGTCATTCGTTGGTTCGAAGCCTTAGTACGAATAGTGATACCATAGCCTCGCAGAAAAGGAGCGTGAACAAATGCTTTTTAAGCGGGTAAAATTATCATATTACTTCTCCCGCCCTGGATAGGGTAAGAGGAAGTGTCAAACTAAAAACCACCCCGTTCCTTCTCCTGCTCTAGGTCGAGGCCACGGTACTTATTTATTGAGCTTGGCCATTTGCTTGGTCGATTTGTCCTACAGGATATGTAACCTCCTCGGAAGTCCCTTACCTCTTTCTTTTGAAGATTTATTTAATACGCCGGAATGTCCTCCAGCTTGCTGTCAAACTGGCTTCCCTCGAAGCTATAGACTCCTTGCGTGAAACATAAGTTTGTCACGTATGTGATGTCACCGTCCCAAAATCTCTAACTCTCAATTTTCACATACCTACCTAAAAGGCGGACAACGCACTTGTAATTATTTATTTATTCTATTATTGCAAGTGTGTATGAAAGGTGACGCCGATTTCAAGTTTGCAAGTTTAACACCACAGAACAGTAAAAACAGTTTTTACTATTTTGTTTTCAACAAACACCATAAAAAAAGAGGAGAAATCAATTATCTTCTCAAGATCTAAGTTTATGCACCTAATAAAAATGACATGTAATATAGATTATATGCCAGTAATTTTCTATATTATTACACTTCTTGAATGCTTCAATGTATTTTTGTTGCAACTGCTTATTGGATGGAATTATAGAAGTTGAAAGTTGAATAATAAAGTAAACCGCGAGGTCGGTCAAGCAAGTGCGACTGCCGAACAATAAAAATTAGGCTTCGAATTTCGGTTTACCATGAGTGATGAGAAGTAGGTGTCACAATATAATGTGCAACTCTGCTTACCCCCTTGGGAAATTAAGAGTTCTAATGAATTTGGAAGCTATTTAAATTCAAATCCGTTGACTGGTTTTTTAAACTGAAGAGTAAATATAACACATCATTTATGCCTCTTATTTCGTTTCACACAGATTGCATATTTTCATTTATTTTGAAATACGCGGTCAACTCACTTTTTCACTGAGTAACCATAGTCCATATTTTTGAGAAAAAATAAGACAGCGTTCCCTATCTGGCAACATTAGTTTAAGAAAATGATGATTTTGTGATTCAAATAAACTTTAGAAAATGCTTATTATTTTAGTAATAAACCCAGCTTGTGATGTTCCAACAATTACATAGCACCTACGTAATTTTATAACTTTTTATCTTAATTTACGATAACCATAATGGTTGAAATAATATAACTACGTTATGGAATACGAATTATTTATTGATATATTAGTTAAACAAGTAATGATTCGTTTACTATCAAAAAAGATTCACACAAACTTTTTTTACAGTCGCATTGCTGGCGACCCTGTCAGTCGATCGATTGTCATTTATTTAGCTTGTCTATGGTTTTTTTTCCTGTAGCAATATTTCAAAAGGGAGTGAGTGAAGTGAAGTGAGTGAAGTAGGGCAATCCAAAATTCGCCATTTTTGCTTTTAGTGAAGGGAGATTTTTTATTTGTCAGGCTGGAGGACAAGGAATATTCAGTAAAAAGTGTGTCATTAGATTTAATTTCTCGTAGCAAAGACTTTATTTGAACAGAATCTTAGTATAATAGTGTGGTTTTATTTATTACTAACGTTTGTATGTAGTGCTACTTCCCCATCGTAAAATTTGCTCGTTGGTGTGTCGCTTTAGCTAATTCAATGGCTATGATATCGAAGTTTTAATCCATCGTGTCGCTTAGACGTTCTCCTCACGGGATAATATCGAGAAAGCGAGGCGACGCCTTTAGAAATGAGCAGGCCTCAAGGCGGACGCATTCAAGTCCCGGATGACCTTAGAGAGATCTTATTGGAGTTCACCATAAGTTATCTGCTGGAGCAACCGGGCGACGTGATCAACTACGCGGTCGAGTTCTTCACAAGATTACAAAACAACAGGACGACCACCGTAGTGAGGGCCCCCACCGTTACTGCCGGCACCCCTGATGAGTCCATAATATCAGACGAAGAAGGTACTAGTCCTCTCATATTTACTATACACTTATTAACTATATTACCAGTTGACTGCGATCAATCAGGTGGGTTTTGTAGGGCTGTGCCAGTAGTTGCTAGGATCCTCAATATACCAGTTGAATGCAATGTGCCCATGTGTGTAGGTTCCCAGTTCATGTTGAGTTCCACATTATCAGTTCTGTGTATATTGATTGTTTTACATTAGTGATATCAATAGATTGAGAAATATTGATATAATTTTATGTTATAAATTGTAGCCATGCAGGAAAACTTTTTAATATGGAGCTCATTTATCAATCATTTGTAGAGCAGTTGGAAAATCTCATAGTAATTGCCATTAATAATAAACAATTTTTAATAATTGGTTTGCCCTGGTACCCTGTTGTGTTACTGTAACAGTGACCTAATTTGACTTGTATGGTGAGATACATCAATATTTGGTTGATATACCTATGAAAAAATATCCATTCTCATTCAATAACTCCCATATGTTTATTTGTTACCCACTAGGCCTTAGAAAATAAACTGCTCATTGAAAGCTTTCGTCCTGTACACATCTTAGGTACCTAGTTTAGTTTTAGTCAGTAGTATCGCTAGCATCCTCTTGCAGCACTGTGACAAAAATTACTGTTGCTAAATTTACCAATTTTTTTATAGACTTGAATAAAAAAAATATAAATACAATCTTATAGCCAACATCTGTAATGATTCAATTTTTGGCATGCTGCCATTACAGTTTCAATGGTATATCATTTTATTTATGGAAAATATAGTATTTTAACTGTTGCCAAGTGATAAATTACAAGGAAAGACATAATAATGTCCAGTCTTATTGCTATCTTAAATGTTTATCTATAAAATCATATAATATTACTTAACAGTATAAACAGACCATATTTGGTAATAAATAAAGCATCATAAGCAGCACAAACTATATGAAAGTGATAAAAGATAAGCAAATATTTGAAATAATAAACACCATTGAGCTTGAAGTGCCTAGAGAGGAGACTTGGAGGCCCAAATGTACAACAAATGCAGGTTTTTACATGAAAATTGTTTGGAGAGGCATAAATTTACAGTGTTTACTATATGCTGATCCTATTTGTGTGTTTGTTTTTAACGCTTTGAAGTTGTGTGATGATGAGATTGGCTTATTTTTCCATGTCCGCGGCTGAGTTTAACGTCGTGAACTGAAACAGATGTCGGCGATATATACGCGTGTTACGTAAAATTAGCTAAGCCTATGTAATGACAGGTAGAACAGCATCACATAAAAATTGTTCAGGTGCTAACCGGACCTTGGGTTTTGTTTATTTAAGACATTTTCTCTTTCATTCAACTATCATTATTCTGAGCAGTGAATCTACAAACAATAGCATTATGATTTTTTTTCAGAGCCATTAAACTTGATGAACCACCATCAAGTGTAATGACTTTGAAATATTTTTTTGCTCAGCTCTGTGTGTAGCAACCAAAAATTTGATAATTATGCTACGCAGCACAAAGTATTGTAAACACCTGTTGATTAATTTTATGATGTCATACTCTCTATTATTAGCAAAAATATTAAAAAACTTGTGTTTACCATAGCTTACTGGATTAAACCATGTTAAGACTAATTTTCAGAGTTTTTTGAGATAGAAATAAATTGTACAATTGTTGAAAGTTGAAATGTAGTTCGCTAGGAGACTGGTAAATTTTTCACATTCATTATAAAATGGATTGATGGACAATGCAACAATGGTTCACATCCTGAATTGTTCAACAGTACACAATATAATCTGTGGTGTAAAGAGTGACATAGAACATTCATTAGCTTCAATGCTAAATATGAAAGAAGTGTGTAAAAAATTTAATTACTCTATGTACAGTGCAAAGTCATTACCATCTTTAATCATAGGTTCATGTAATTAAATGATGTTTTAATTTTGAATACCGAAAAAGTTGTCTTTTAAAAACATAATAGGAGAGGCCTACAAATTAAATAGAAAATATTGATAAAACTTTTATCAGAATGAGAAACAGTGTATGTTTGGTTTTGATTTTGTTTGGTGATATGCTGTTTGCTGACGTGTTCTGGCCGCAGCCCCGTGAGTGTCTTGGCGTGTTATTAATAATGCAGTTTGTTACAATGCAGGCAGTGCAACACATACTAAACACTTCCACTAACTTCACTTTCTCTGAACGCACCATACTCATTACTTGTACAAGTACACAATTATTTAATCAGGCTCATGTCGCAGTACCATTTCCTTCGCGTGTTAGCGCAATCGATTGCCCATAAACTGCACGCTAAACGTGCAAAAAATTATAAACTGAGAATGTTGATAACGTAATTAAATATGTACAACCATTTATTATTTAGCTCTTCAGTAGTTTACATCATGGAGAGTCACATTCAAGACGTTTTTCCGTCATTCTATAACAATGATGAGTGTAATTATGGTCAGCCGTTTAGCCTTCGTATCTAGAATGAGTAGCTAAATAATAACTCAAACGTATAAATGTCCATGTCCCTAATTCTATCTTGGACATCTTTCAACAACTAGGCTTGTCTTGAATGAATACGGATATTTTAATGCCACCTTCGGGAAGCCAATAATACAATGCAAACCTTTACCTGTCTACTAAGTATTGGCTCGAAGTACGTGTTAAGAATTTAGAAGTCGCGTCAATTACGTACAGTGAACCATTTGGGAAGATGCCCGTGATTCGGCAAGCAGCTTGTAAACGATGTTTGTGTTTTAAATACATTACATGTGTACCTACAACTAAACACATGTGTTGACCGAATATCTGTCTTACGAATGTGTTTGCGTCATTACCTAGTTAGTACAAATAATATGTTTCTAAAGTAAACCTCTTTGGTACAAAATATTATAGAACGGATGCACGGACGGTCACATCCATATGGATCATTTTGCAGGTCTTTAAGCACATGTGCAAATGTTAGCCTACATATTTGGTAACACAATGAAGTCCGCGCCCGTACTTAATATTAATATGCGTACCCAGTACATAGGTTTATTGCTAGATATTTATAGACAGTTATACAACAACATAAAGTTTATGAAGGCAATAATTGCGCGTTTGAATAGGCCCTTGATAGATACTCGATACGTTTATCCAGATAGCGATTGAGTGTTTGGTATGAATTTAAAATCATTAATGGTGTGCATTTGAAATTTGGTATAAAAATATTTTGAAAAAGTAACTTGACATTAGAATGGTTTCCGTAATCGAAGGTGTTATAATTAAAGGAACCCTCCTTTAATTATAACACCTTCATTGATTTCTTACGAAAATGCTTATAAGGTAATGCTTGTGTCTTAATATTGTTGTAATGTGTGGGCAGAGCCGCCAGTGGCGCGCTTCAACACTCGACGCAAGTCGGTGTTCGCTGAGACTTACGACCCCGAAGAAGATGATTCGGACGAGGGAGCAACCACTGTGTTCCCCAAGTCGGACGCGCAACGCCAGCGTCTCGCCGAGGCAGTACGCAGCATCCTGCTGTTCCGCTCCCTCGACGCTCAGCAGATGCAACAGGTCAGTTCTTAGTAAAACCACAGGCGAGAATCTTTACTTTGTAAACAGTATAGACTTCTTAAACAACTTTTTTTTTCTAATGAACTTTGTGTATAGAACACAATGTTCAGTGCATACTATGATTATCTCCTGTATTGTTTACAAACACAGATATACATACACATCACGCCCAAATCCGAAAAATAATTTGTAGATCATTCAGTTGTTTGGTCGAGTTCGCCGCACATACTGTGCCTATGCAATTTTTATGATAGAGTCTTACACATATGACTGTCCAACCAGTATTTCGCCTGTCAAGCCGATGACTCAGTGTTCTACTGCAATTATTTATCTATTCTGTCTGCCCCACGGACAATTAGTTGCCAATTTATTATCTGTTCGTCCGCAGGAGAACCCCATGCTACAATACATGTCAGTTATTGAATAATTAACAGAATTCTTTCGTTTTGTTTGAAAAGATTTTCAACACATTACCTTTAAAATGTGACGAAAACAATTTCCAGTTTCTTAGATTGATTGTAAGTTATGTAAAACATTCTGTAGTTTACTTCAATGGTTAATGTAAAAATATTCCCATCTTTTCTTACATAGTTGTCATAGTACTGCTTATCAGTGTATGAATGTTACATCAGTGATGACTGCTAAATACTTACATTGTTTGCCATACCTACTGTATTCCAAACATATTTGAATGGCGGGTCGTGACCACGATCTCGTACATACCGACTTATAGATGGCAACAGTTTACTCATCTCAAATAATTTCAATATTCCTTCAAGTTCTATGCGCAGTGACAAGGAATTTCCTTGTCACTGCGCATAGAACTAAGTAACAGCACAAAAAAATATGTATCCAAGATTAGCACAAATCGTTAGTTCGGCACACTAGGAAGCTTTTCACGCGAAAACTGTTTGTTACACTATAAATCTTTAAGAAAAATTTCCACTAGTACACATATTATAAACAGAGTGAGTCTGTCAGCAAGATGACGTGGGTTTGCGTAGGTGCTGGACGCGATGTTCGAGAAGCGCACGGAGCCAGGAGAGTACCTGATCAGGCAGGGTGATGACGGAGACAACTTCTATGTCATCGAGAATGGCATGTTCGACGTGCTCGTCACCGGAGATGATCGCATCGAGAAGGTACGTCATCGGCTAAATAAGATCTTAATCCCGTCGTCATAGCCAAAAGTAATCATAGACTGAAAATTCGTTATTATATCGCACAAAAATCTCTTCAATTTGCGCCTAAAATATCTCAATCTTCATACTTAAAAAGGCCAGTTTGTAATTGTGTTGCAAACGTCATGTAATGTTACAGCACAGGTTAATGGCCTTCCACATTTCCCAATGCCGTCGTCCCACCAACAAACCTCAAAATAAAAGTTCAACATACATACATACATACATACTTCACAGCTAATTACGCGGTATTTGGCACAAAAATTTGGGCCCAAATTATATACAACTTTTACGTTTAACATTTCTTGGATTATTTGTGAAGAAAAGCTATTTCTGAATGTTTGGTGCAGTTGTTTTAAATTCATAGTTGGGATCATACGATCGAATTTATCAAAAAACGTGTCACTAGTCACTCCTGTGTATTGATCCATCATTTGAACATGGGTGTTAATTTTCCATCAATAGAAACTAATCAGAATATCGCTCTGGTCGTGACCAATTTAAAGATGCGAACTATTTGCCGGATGACTTGAAACGCAATGTGAGATAATGCCAAGTTTTTTCCACTAAATGAAAATATCATTTCACATTCCTGAAGATATTCTACTTACGCGTAGATAACTGAAGTTGTTCTTACATCTTTCCTTTGGCATAGTTTTATATAAATGAACTAGTACCAGAATTCTAGACTTGTTGAATACGAGCGCCATGGGATCACTAACCTAATGTTTATCACCTGTCCCCAGTGCTGTATGATAACATTATGTGACTAAGCCCATCAATGCGAGGTTGTTACATAAACTTTTTGAAGTTCACTGTCATCGGGACACCTAGTAACTTGATGAGATAGAATGCCTCTGGCAAAATTGGCAGATTTTACTTTTTTCCCATAATCTAGTTTAAATTTTAACCACCTATTCCTATTCCTACCAGGTGGTGCACACATATGAAGGTAGTGGCTCGTTTGGCGAGCTGGCCCTGATGTACAACATGCCCCGTGCGGCCTCTGTGCGCGCTCAAACCCCGGGCCAGCTGTGGGCCATGGACCGCCACACCTTCCGCCGCATCTTGCTCAAGAGCGCCTTCAAGAAGCGCAAGCTGTATGAAGATCTGCTGGAGAAGGTGCCCATGCTCAAGGCATTGCAGGTACGTGCAAAATTCTTACATCTTGATCTACATAATATATATAAAAGTCAATGCCACTTTTCGTTGTAATGTTATAACTCAACAATGCCTTTGCCGATTTGGTTAATTTTGGTCTTGAATTATTCTTGGATGTCCAAAGACTTACATTTGTATGTGAAGAACATTTTTTGAAAATCTTGAAAAAGTGTAAAATCGACATCCACGCTTACGGAGCCGCGGGCGACCACTATAATGTACATATTCCTAAGCACAAATGCTAAACTAAGTTTCTGTCTACTGCTTCAGTCGTCTAGAATTTACAAAATTCCTGTTGATATAGAAATATTGGAGTAAAAGTAGTCTAAGTGGAAATTTGAAATTTCATATCAGAGTTACTAAAATAGTTCATTAGTTTAATCAGGTTATTTATAATTTATTGTAATCACATTGATTTTCGAGCTCTGACCTGCTAATTGGTTTCATATGAATGCATAAATGTTACATACGGGTTTATTAACAACATGATTCTCTTAGGACGCAGTGTATATCGAATACTATAAATAACTTGATAATGTTAAGGATATATTTAGCTGGACCATGTATAACTTTTTTAATATCAACTTCAGCTAGTGGATTCGCTAGGATAAACAGAAACAAATATGAGATATCTTATTTGAGCTCATACAGAATCTATCTCTATGTCGCATTTGATTCAGATCTATTCTGTTGATTTACGTGGAAGTCGAAAACATCTATAATTACTACTCTGTCAAGAAAGTACCGGGAAAAAGTCAATAATATACAAAATGTTTGTTATTCATCTAAATTTATTTTATCACCTTCAAAGTATGCTCCTTCAGAAACGATACACTTACGCCAACGAATAATCCAATCATCGAAACTTTTTTTAAACGCTGTTTCCGGAATTGAGTTCAGTGTTCGCCGCGAATTCTCCTTTATGTCTTCTAACGATTGAAAACGGGTGCCACGAAGGGGTAATTTGAGTGTGGGAAAAAGAAAGAAGTCGGCTGGAGCCATATCTGGTGAATATGGTGGCTGCTCGATGGTGTTTGTTGAGTGTTTGGACAAAAATCGTTTACAATGATGGCCTTGTGCGAAGGCGCATTATCGTGATGCAAAATCCAAAAATTTTCTTTCCACATTTCTGGCCTTTTTCGTCGAATTTGTTCTCGTAAACGCCGCATAACGCTCAAATAATATTCTTTATTTCGAAATTCCGCGCCAAAATGGAAAACAGTTATGCCAATCTAACAACAACAATAAAAATTAAAATTCGAATTTGGAACCATAAAAAAAACATTCATTCCCGATACTTTGTTGACTGAATGTATATGCATCCTCTTAAAAGTTTACCTTAATATTAGTTACTTTAAAATGTGGACGAGCCAAGCTTTGACACGAACCGAGTGATACTACAACCTTGCCCTTTGCAGTATCTTTTAAATAGCTTTACTATGAGACGGGCCAACATACTGATATTTTTTGACTTTAATCTTTGTTGAAGTCCAAAGGTGCCGTTCTTCGTAGTCATTGTATTTATTTAAACGTATCGGGTTTTAATGTAGGTGCAGTAGGTACACTTGCTATCTTGCTTACATAAGTGTAATTGAACATAACGATCGTTAGGTCGTCTAAAGTAACCTATATCGCCGCCATCTGCCACTGATATCAAAATCCTTATCAACACGGTAGCAATTTACCAGAAATACAGTACTTAACGTACAAACAAATCAAGAGAATCCATTCTACAGTATTATTTGAAGAATCTTTTTTTTTAAACATTAAAATTGTACTTTAAACTATAGGTTTTTCTCACACCAAAAAAGTTGAGTTGCGTGGGAAGTTTGTTTCTCTAACTTTGTTTCTAGTCGCCATATGTCGTATAATATAGACAGCCATTCGTAACTGACATACATACACTTTCAAACTAGACCTCCTTGAGCAATAAGAACTACATTTGAACTTTAATACATCTAGTAATCTTTCCCACAACGTTATTACACTTATAATAATGTTATAAAGACTATTGTGGATGGTTATAAATGATTATTCCAAGTATTTATTATAAATTCAAACTTAAGTTAGTTTGTACGCTTTGTTAACTTTATCAATCTTTTTGAAATTTTACCTTTTTACATACATCCCAACTACATATATGAGGGTATGTAAAGCCAGGCTTTTTCGGCCGAACGTAACATCGCGGCAAGTATAAACAGGTTTTTATAATGCTTTATTAATTATACTGTTTTTATCACGTGTTTGCAGTGATATTGTAATTTGATGTTATTAAAGTTTTTGTTTCTACTTTTTTAAATGGGGGGAATGTTAGGTTAGGTAATGGTAAAAAAAATTGACACGACTTAAACAAAATAATCTTGTATATTAAACCCCCTACTAAGATTATAAACGCAAAAGTATGGATGGATTAATGTTTACCGGTATTCTTTTACGTAAAAACTACTGAATAGATTTTGATAAAATTCATCACAATTATAAATTAAGGTCTGAAATATTATATAGGCTACTTTTGACCTGGATAAAGCGGGCGAAACCACGGGCAGAAGCTAGTAATTAACATTTACACCCTTTTTTGTAATTAATAAGCTACACAACGCTGAAATAAAAATCTATCTATCGTAATAAGCAAAAATGCATCTCCCATCTTTATTTAGCCAAAATAAAATACGGTCGTAATGAAACTACAAGCAATAACGCACTAAACAAAGTTCATTAGAAATATTGAAACGTGAGTCTCACCCCTCAGAGCGTTCACACGCGAACGGATCCGTTGCCCAGTGTCCCGAAAATATTGCCTGACCACGCTCAAACTCTACTTAGTAATCAATATAATGCCTAGTCTACACCTTCCTCCATACCATTTTAACGATGCAAGCTATGCAAACATACATATCGAATACTCTAAATAGGATTTTCCTTATTCAAAAATAAAACCATAAAGATACTTACAAATTATCACACCTTCATTTCGTAAGTATACGATACTAATACATATTAGGAAGCGGTAAAATTTGTAAGTTTGTATGTAGGGGGTAATCTTTGGAACCGCTCTGGTCGGATTACAAAATTTTACTGATTAATAGCCACAATGTCCCTTAGTACAAATGGAGCCGAGCAGCGGCTAAAAGTAATTTTTATATTATATATTCAAGACCAATAAGTTTGCTGTTTGCCAAAAACATATGACATCATAACGTGCTATTTCAGAATACGAAATTCATAGGAAATTGACGTCTTTGATATCTCTGCAAAGTATCGAATTTGATTAGTTGGAAACTACCCTATTCTCCGAAGTGTTAGTTAGAAAGGTTTTCGCCGATTACGTTATAAGTCTCATATAAAAAGCAGGTGAGCCTATTACCATATTGCATAATGAAGCAAACACCGTTGACCTGTATCCGTCTATAATGGGACTTATCGCAATTTACAAAATGTTATCTTCAGTACTATTAAAGTAGAGCTTAATTTTGACTGCGGTACAAAGATTACAACTAAACGTACTTACTCTCTTTCTTGGGGTTTTTTTGAAGTGAAAATCATCAAACGCGCCATCCCTGGGTGAGCCAAAACAGAGTATCAGACTGCTTTTGTTTATTATTAACTTAAAACTACCACGTTACTTCTACTGCTCAGAGCCGGGGCTCCGTTCCGATTGCGCTTGCACCTCCAACGCCGGCTGATCTTTCTTGAAGCGATGAAAAAAATAAAAAGGAAAAATAGACTTAAGTGTAGACGTAATAACGCTTCTTTTCCTTTCTAATTACAACGAAAGAAAGCATTTTACATTATCACTTATCGCTCCTTAAGTCGCTAATGCGTAACGCAAAAACATGTTTCATATATACAAGCGTTTAAAAAAACAAACCGTAAACTAGAAATAGACAGAACTAGGTCACTCGAATAATTATTCCTTATACGAGAATTGATTTCTGAAGCCTTGAATACTATTGGAGGTCCATGCATCGACATTCCTGTTATCTAAAGCAACATGTGTGACTAGAAGTTATAAGTCTCTGTCTGATCATAAGGTCGAAAATACGGTAGTTTCCATCTAGTTCCAACAAGTACGGTAGAAATTTGTATGAAACTCCAAATTATCACGTCATCGTATCATAGCGTCAAATAGCTTACTTATTTTTTTTTTAAAAATTGCTGAAAATTGTCGAAAATTTATTTTAACGGCATAGCCTGTTCTATAGCACGCTGAGCGACTCTGAATCTCTCAAGAAGGCCAGAAGTTAGAGACCACGTCTCAGTACCAAACGTCATCAAAGCAATTTAGAATTTTGCGGTAGTACGGACCATTCCATACCCCAGCTACTACCGGTTGTATGACAGAAATTGTATAAATGTTTTACACGGAAAAGATGACAGTCACATTAAATCTTCCTTATATAGGTATATAAGGAAGATTTAATGTGACTGTATATAAAGGATATAAGGCTTAATGTAAAAGTACATAATATATGTTAAAGAAATTGTTATCTTGCTATGTGTTGTAATACTTTATCTTATTAGTTCCGATAGTCATACTTTTTATTGTCACGGACAAGAATGACGTGACGTTACTACGCTACGGATGCCAATTAATGGACACTTTTCCTCCTATTGTACCGAAAGAGATATTAATGACAAACAATACTAATCATACTACCTATAGCTCAATTAAGTGTAGTTATTTCCTCTCTTGAATACATTTTTCATGCATGTATTAATGTCTACGATTCTACTACAAAAATAACATAAGTTGCGAATTAAATCAACACACAACACTTTCCATCACAATACGGTAGTTTCCAACTAGTCAAATTCAATACTTTTATCCAAATGTCAAAAACGATACTTTTCTATGAAATTTGTATGAAAAACTGAGCTATGATGTCATAACTTTTTTGCGTCATAAAGCTTACTTATTTCTTAATAATTACCTAAAAAAATCTAAAAATTAGTGTATCGATCGATTGATGAATAAAACTATGGTTATTTTTCAATATTTTATTGTATCGAAATAATTTATTTTTGATCTAGGAAACTACCCAATTCAGACAAAAAGTTCTATTTATTTCTAAACCTTAAATAGAGTTCGTTGACCTCAGGATTTCCTTATAATGGACAGACGCTAGGGACTAGCAAGCACTAAGCCACTAAGCTAAGAAAACGGATTAGCACCCTGAAATAAAACGGCACGGAGCGTTCCATGGGAAATCTTTACAACCTTCCCCATCGTCAGCTCGCCATTTAGATGGACAAGCGATTTAATTGCTTTTAGATTGTAGCTCAACAAGTTGCAACTACCTAAGTTACCGCACTATATCAACACACAGATATCGTAACGATTTACAAGATTACATACGGACAAACTAGTTTTATTTCCGCTCCAAAAACAAGAACACCGTGTCATATTTGACGATGTCTTACGCGTATATACAAAATGGTTTTCTCGTAGAATAATTTCGAAGCATATTTAATAGAGTTAATGCAATAAACCTTGCGCTGTAGGGGAGGATAACTCGATGCAAATTATACAATTTATGCGTCAACCCACGCTGTAAACAACTTTTTTTGCCTTAGTTTAAAACGTTTTCCACGTTGTACGAGTAAATAATACTTGACTGTTTTAAGTTTACTATTATAAAAGACGTATTTCTAGTCACGATTTATTACCTCAGCGTAGACTATTTTATTTATTGGTATAATATTACCATAACAATAACCTTATGTCGTTATAAAAGCATTTTACATGTGTTTTATTATATGACTTGCGATTATGATTAGCTCCGACTTGTATCAACGTTGTACGTCGTCCCGCAAAGGTTTTGCATATTATTATTTTCTGACCCTATATTTGAGATACAAGCTCTGCTTAGCGATCTTAGAAATCACTATAAAAATGAACAATGCACTTTATATCTGACCAATTAAACTACATTTTACACTAACCTGAAATTAATGATTTTCCGAATTAATATTTTTGAAGTAATTTTCGTGTCTATCGATCGACTGGACAATCTATAACTAGAAATAAATGTTTGTATTTTTCATTATTCGACTCTAGATTACGTTGTATTGTTGAATTATGTAGGTACCAACAAGCTGTAGAAATCGCGTCGTCTTTGTGAATTTACACAGACGGTGACGTCAGACGTTATTGATCTGTATTGTAAAACATTTTCACAAATATTTTATTATGTGACGTTTACTCTATGAGGCTTATGATAATACAAATTCCGTTGCCAATTGAAAAGTTTAAGAAGCAATCGAATGATAATGGCCGTAATGAGATATTGTAGTAGCCAGCGTCGCGTGATTCGTACGTACGTAACGTGATAACACTTATCAGTTAATACTGATTTAAGCTTAGATTAGGCTATGATAACACGCCCAACGGTCCACAATGGTCTTAGATTTAGACAACTTGAATAAGGTCCCTTGAAATTGTACGGAATGCTAGACGAATGGTGTACCGGTTAAAGCCTGGTACAGAATCTAGGTCGGGTTTGAAAATTTTAATAGTGCGTATGTCGCATGTTGCCAGCCGGCTAAAAGACAATGCTTTACGCTCGCCATTGCTACATGGAAATTCTTCGTAAACGGACTACGATAGTAAATATAGATAAACGTTTGTGTGTGTATGTAGTAGTGAACACTGAAAAGGACGCTAAGTTCCGCAAAACACACAATTATTAGTTATTAGTAGTTTTTCTTTTTATACATCTATGTAATGTTTACAAAATCAGATTGCGGTTATTTTGGAATTTGTCACAGTAAAGATATTTTTATTATGTAACTGGAAACTAAACTTCGCATTATACATATTAATATAAGTTATTTTCTCCAAAAGATTATTGAATAAATTATTCTATGAAACGCAGGGCAATAAGACTATACTCTAAACAAACAAAAACTTTGTATTTGTATTAGCCACGGTATAGTCTCTAAATTCCTCATTTATTCTCGCTTATTGTGCACGCATCACAGTCCTTTGACACGCTTCTACTATTTCTGTTAACATATTAAAACTTCCGACTTCGTATTGAGAAATCTCAACTGTAGAATCGAAAATCAATTAGCTACAATTCTGATTTGAATTTTCCTTATCGTTAAGGAAGTTTTTTACGCTCACCCATCTTCATACGAGGTGATGTTGAATATAATCTATACTAAGATTATAAAGATGTAAAATTTGTAAGTTTGCATGTAGGAGGTAATCTTTAAAACCGCATGGTCGGATCTCTTTCGCTGATAGATAGCTACAATGTTCCTGGATACAAATTATACCTTGATTTGCGCATTTCAGCCGAGCTATCGCTTTATACGCTGCTATTAAAATCCCGGGAATACCTTACTTTGATACGCGTGCGAAGTCGCGGACGGAAGGTAGTTTAAAAATATCTTTATAGTACACACTAGCGAAATACTGTTATCAAGTCTAATTTAGTCAAGACCTAAGCCTAATGTATGTAGATGAGGAAAGAGTAAAACATATTTACATAATGTTGCCTTATGTCTAGTTATACTGTCATAAATCTGAGATCCACTTTATAGGATCAATTCACTGAAAGCATTGTGCAGCTGCTTAATTACCCGTGTGATGCCCGGCCGTGAATAGTTTACCCGTTTCTTCCCCAACGGCACACTAACATTAAATTCAAGTGAATGAACAGTGGTTAAAATAGATTGCGAACGTTTCCGGGAAAATTGTTTGAATATTACCTATACCGATAAAGATTTGTATTAAAAAGATTGTATGGATATATTGGTAAGGAAGTAAATATCGACAAAAGGGTCAATATGGCCGCAGGTAATTAGCTAACAAGCTGTCACTAATGCACGGCTCTGCTCCAAGGAAAGGGGAGAAAGACACACACACACACACACACGGTGTACGGTGTAGGGTTTAAACGTGTCAGAGGGCACCTCTTCACACAGCTAGCCTCTATTCTGCTACAGCCGTCTGATGAAGTGTGAAGCCATCATTATTCCGTTCTGAAACAATGATTCTGTTCTATTTCTTTAGTAATTTTTCCTTCTAAACAATAATCAATATAAATATTTTTAAGAAAATATAAAATCTTAGAAGATTCCTTTATCAAGAAATGTTGATGTAACAAATACAGTTATTTGTATAAGTACGTACACAGAAATCATTATAAAAATATTTGCTTTGTAATTTTGGGTTCTAAATTCATACTGCAGATGATAATACGAGGTAAGTCATTTGTGAAATGTGTGTAAGCACGGTCATGGCCACGCAGACTATTTTACCAAAGCAACAGACAAAAGTTGATGCTGTAATTCCCCTGCCTTCAGCTTTATTCAACAATCGCTCAACATTAGGTACATTTTGTAGAATCTGTTGTAAAGTGTATAAAAAAACCTCTTGTCACATTCATACTTCTTTAAATGCGCACTCGGCAGCAAATTCTCCGTACCACCTTTCTGAGGCAGTTCTCAAATTAGATTCTTCTTACTGAAAACATAATTCTCGGTTTACCGGATATTACTCGAGATTGGAACTTTGCTCAGCAAATGTCCATGATTTGCTTCGACCGTATTTTATTTGTAATAGTGTACAGCGGTTCATATCCGTTTATCATTTCACAAACGTAAATTGTATTTGCTCGAAGTAAAAGCAAATATACAAATATTAGTGAATACCTTAGTTTTGTTTGAGAGGTATAAAATAATGATCCAATTGTTTTTCCAAGTAAATCAGGCAATAAAGTGATAAAGCGCATGCTACCGTTGTACCGTCAAAGGCGGTTGTCGTTCGTGTGTAGATAATATTGTCTGACGAGCGAGGCGAAAGATAACAACCTCCGGACGTCGATGTTCCTATCGAATTTATTCACCTTCCGGACCGAGCGTGACGTCACCGCTTTTTATCTTAGACTCACACGTCACACTGAAACTGGCGACTACGGAATGTGATGTGGGATTTTTATAAATGTAAGCCTTTGACGTAGCGGTTTTGTTTTCCTCTTGTACAACCGTCGACATTGATAGAATGATATTGATATTCTACAAGTAGGTAGGTATTTATACACTCTTACTTGAGTTTTGTCTTTAAAAATCTAAGTATAATATGAGGAAGAATTTAATAACGTGACGTAGGCAAGAACACATGCAACAGTAATACTTCTGGCATTCGAAATACAGTCCGTTTCCTAGTACGCATTGAAATAAGTCCGTCTGTTTTCTTTAAAGATACAAAACGTAAACAGTTTCTCCTAAACGCTTACAAAATAGGTCATACGTCTGCGACCAACGGAAACTTGCTAGGAAAGATTCCCGGATATTATTTATTTACAATCATTTGTCAAATATATGTTCGCAATATATTATTGAATTCAAATAGTCTTGCGACCCACGCGTTTCTTATAAAATGGAGGCAAATGTGGGACAATATGTGCTAGTCTTTGCTAGTTTTCAAATATGTTTAATCTTCTTAACTTGGAATGCTGTTTTCTTTACAATTTTAACAACTTAAAAAAATATTCAATCAACATTTTTGATCTAATATCACCAGGTTAGTCTTTAAAGTAAAATTAAACTGCGTATTTCGTTTAAAGTCTAAGTCAAAATCGTTTATTTAAATCACACCCTTTCAAGTACTTTTGAACATCAAACAAAGCTTAAAGCTAAAAAGTGTCAGTTTGTCGGTCAGTTCTCTTAGTGAAGCTATTTAAATTAAGCTTAACCGCATATGATTAACAAATTACATGTATTTGTGCAGGCGTACGAGCGCGCCAACCTCGCGGACGCCCTTCTGCCGCGCACATTGACCGACGGCGAGCTGATCATCCGCCAGGGAGACACCGCCGACGGCATGTACTTCGTCGAGGACGGCGCCGTCAGCATCCGCATCACCCGCGATGACGGCAACGAGCATGAGATTAAGCGCCTTGGTAAGTCATTACAATCCAATTGACACCTTTTTATTAAAGCTTCTTTCGTCTTGTCTATGGAAGTGTTTGCCATCTTTTGCATCGGTTTCTTTCAGAAATTGGATTGGGAACATTGCGGAAAATCTATTGTTGAAAACAAAGACTTAGAGGACAACCCTTTGTATAAAAATAACATTTTCTCAGTAAATAGAAGTATGTCATAACTTTCACCAAGATATCGTTTATGTGCTTCGTTGAAACCTACATGTTTGGCAAATCAAAAGTTCAACGAACAATATCTTAACATTCTGTAAGTCTATAGGTCGAGTATCCACAAATTGATACACAATAGCCCTCGCCATAACAATTCCTCAACTTAACAACACAAGTTTCTCATATGTGGTTTGAAACCACAAACAGATTCTCCCAAGTCAATTATGAGAGCAAAATTAACTTGGCCATGCATGAGAGTAGCTGTGTTTATTGAGTAATAGATGCAGGACAGAGACAGCGGGGCTTGCAACGTCATATATACAGCTAACAGCGTGGGCCAATCAATAACGTATTAGCTTGTACATACTTCGCTCACTCGACCCGAAACCGAATGACGGGAGCATGATCGATTGTTTCGTACAGCCGTCGTACTAAACAATAACATAGTTTTAAAACTAAAAAGAGTATCAATATTCATGTGGATACTTCATCTTCTCTGGTACTATATGTACCTATGTATCAGTATCCGCCATCTTATGTGACATTATGGATCATACAAATTACGCCCCATATTAAAAATAATCTAGAACATAGTGTCCAGTAGAAATCAATTTCTGTGATCGAATTTCACCAACAACTGATTCGATTTATATTCTTGAGTAGGAAATTCTATTTATTGCGGAAGGTTATTAATAAATATGATATAACGTTAAAAGATTTAGAAAAGAGCAACCGGGTAAAACCACGTCTACTGACAGTTTAGTAATAGTTAATAAGTGCAAACAGATTTTAGTTTAAATTTTCTTTTAAAGTACACATCGTCATCATGCCAATTTATTGAATTTTTTTTTATGAAATCGCTTTCTTCTCCCTGGTTGCTATAGAAGACATTTTCTCAATAAGCTATTCTAGTAGATTTAAGGTGACTGAGAAAGGCTCTACAAGTAAGTCACAATGGGACATTCATGAGCGCCATGCGAGTCGTGGCGTCGTCGCCCCTATAATTTTCTTTACACACACATCAATAGTGTACGCGGAAGCGTGTTTATTTGTTAATTACACATTTCGTATGAAGTGTGTGTACTAACCTTTCGCTTAAAACCAAAGATATCTGAATAACTTGATTCTCCTAGTAGGTATTAACGAAACATGTAAGGTTAGTAAAATCCAAACTAATATTATAAATGCGAAAGTAACTCGATCTGTTTGTCTTTTCTTCACGCCTAAACTACTAAACTTATTTGTGTGAATCTTGGTAAAGACATAGTTTGGAACTCGAGAAAGGACATAGAATAATTTTTAAACCAAAAATCCGCAGGAAGTAAGTATTCTACGCGAACAAAGTCGCGGGCAAAAGCTAGTTCTCTATAAATGTGGAACGCAAGATGATTGATTCGTGCCTCAAAAAACTAAAAATAAAGTTTGCTATGGATGTATGTGTCGTTCCCTTTTCTTTAATCTGTAAATTATATATAATGTTTTTGTCCAACAGAGGCGGGTGGTTACTTCGGAGAGCTGGCTCTGGTCACACATAAGCCGCGCGCTGCATCTGCTTACGCCGTCGGCCCCACCAGGGTGGCATGTAAGTATTACTCATTATTATACCAGACAAAGCATAAATTAAAAGTAACCATGAGTTCCCTTGATGTTTAGGGAGCATACCATCAATATTTTATTGTTATTTTAACAACTTAATCAGTAGAAAGGCTTATCCTCCTAAGTGTACTGGAGACATGTAAACATGAATCTACATTAAATTAAAATTGAGTCCGAACTTTTCTTTGTGGAGGGAAAATCATCACATGGAGTTTCTTGCCCAGGGAATGGCGAGACAGAGTGTCACTCATAATGAATAGAAACCTCCCTCTTCCCCCCAACCCTCGTTCCTTCTGTTCCAGGCTGAGATCGCGACACCTTATCGCGCTTGACCACCGGCCCCGGCTAAGCATTAGCAAATTAGTCTGACCTAGGGCTGATATTTCAATGGTTATAAAACAATGACAGCAACAATTTATTCCTCAGATAACTTCTTTTTGTCAAGGGAAAATCAGCCATTAGGCGCATAATTACGTTAACTAGGGCACAATCCAAAAAATCGGTATGATCCAATAACAACCGAAATTAAATTCCCGTTCTTGTAACCAAACAGCGGACAAGACAGGGACATTGTGCAGGTGTTTACACCGTGCCCCGTGCCCGTAAACGCCACAATCGTGTAGACAACCGGCCTCGTTTGAATGTCGTCCGCTGACAACGTCGCCGCATTAATCAACATACATTTACTGCAGACAGTTTCCTCTCTGTACTAGAGCTTTTGAACTCAAACCCTCGACTAAACATTTTCAGCCTTATTACAAAACAACACTTTCCTTTAGTCTAGGTCTAAACCATTAAGGCAGTTTTTGTATTTCGAATTGAAGGTAGGTAGGTAGGTGAGAATAAGATTCCACATTCAAAACCTGACTTAATGGTCTAAAGCTAAAGATAAATCTTGTATAGTAATAAGGGAGTTTCGTTTTTAAGGGAGTTTAGTTTCGTTTTCGTTTAATGTTAAATTGTATGTTTGTAAACGCAGCCACGACACAGGAGAAAATCATAATGTGGGACAACGTTCTTTTCTTTAAATTAAAAACAAAACGTTTCTCACTCGTCTAATATAATGTTGTAAAAGTTAAGATAGCCTATGTTATCCCCTAAAAAGAAAACTGGTCGGGCTAATACTTATGTTTTCTCTGTTTTTTAAAACGTTGCCCCACACTAGGATTTTCTCCTGTGTTGTAGGTGCGTTTACAAACATACAATTTCTCACACAAATCACATCCAGACCCGGAACAACAATTTGAACACAAAAGTTGTTCCGTGTGGGAATCCAACCCGCGACACCAGTTGCCCAGCCATACGCCAAACGTGCAGTCATGTACAACAGTGAACATTTTATAGCCTAACCTAATAATGTTAATTAATAATTACTATGATATTACCGACAGCTATCTTACATCTTAAAGTCACAGTTATATCAAGACTGTTATCATTATTTTGTAATTAATGGCTATCATTTGATAACATATTATCTCTAAGTTCAAACTAATCAGACACTATACTTTATTAATAACTAATCTTCATTTCGTACCCTTCATATTAATCTAGATTTTATTAAGTAAGTGGTATTTTATTAAGCCGGCTCTTTGATCCCATAGTGGCAAATATGGGACTCATATTTTTTTATATCTGAGGTTGTCTTGTATCTCTTTATCAAACAACTATTTTTGTCAGGATTAAATATATTTAATAGCGTGAAGAACAGCGGTGTGTTCTTCTTACTCATAAAATACAGTTTTGTTCTGATCAAGATTTTTGTAGTATGATAAATATCAATGATAAAATAATGATTACCTCGAACCTTGATTACTATCGTTTATTCGACAAATTCGATGTTCCAATTTCATGAAAACAAGTAATATAAGTCAGCGTAGTTACCTACCTTACCTTTATTGTACAAAATAGCATGTCAATTATATTTGTTATTTTTATAATTTGTATTCAATATACAACATGCAGGAAAACTTGCAAAATAAAGAACAAAAGCATTACTCATTCCTATTAAAATTGCCAGCAGATTTGTTACAGAAAATGTAGTAATGTTAAGTATATTTAACATTGTGAATAGATTTTAATTTCCTGTCTGTTATTTCCAGTCCTTGACGTGGAGACATTCGAGCGGCTGCTGGGTCCGTGCATGGAGATCATGAAGCGCAACATCGATGACTACGAGGAGCAGCTCGTCAAGCTGTTCGGCGACAAGAGCAACCTCACCGACGTGCGATGAACGGCCCGCGCACGCACTCCGCGCCGCCACTTGTTTCCCTTCCACACACCGTAATCTACTCCTCTATTCGTTCTCAACGCTTCACTGAGGTTATGCTGACCCTCCCCTCCATTTTACCTCAAAACCTATTATAACTCTTATTGTATATTTTGAACGCCAGTACATGACAATGGTATATTCTTACTTTCAAAACTTAAAAGGATATTTTTGATTGATTGGTACACAGCATAACCTCATTAAATCAAGTCTGTTTGTGCTCATAAAGCCAAAGGCGACGCTTACTAAATAGCTTAAATGTAACATAATTGTGCTTAACCAACTAAAATGTTGTAGAGTACAAGTACCTACACAGGTTTATTTAATATCATTTTGAAGTAGTGCCATGTTGTTTATTATATTTGAACTTAATCGTATTAGATAATGTATGGATTACGCGTTGAATGGAAGGTGAAACGATGACTACATAACGAGCGCTCAATAATATTGCATTGATACAAAAATACGCTTATTTTAGATAGAGAAATGCCTTAGTAGCTAAGTATATATAAGGATCACACCGAGGAGGTGGCGGCGAGCCGAGCGCGTAGAAAACAAAATGTTGACACCAGCTCTAGTGCCATACGTGGCCGGCCATGCAGGACTTGTCACACATTCTGACTGCAATATGTATAATATGCAACCAGTTCGTTGCGACCGCGACCCAACGAAAGCGTGTCATAAGTTGTTTTGTTTTCTACGGATGTCGTCACCTAACACGAACAAGTCAACATCTGACGATAACAATAAAAGAATTTATGACTCGAGGGTAAAAGGCATTAGTGTTAAACTTTAACATAAATATGTTAACGTAGTGAGTGATTACAATGCAATACTATTCGGCACTCGGCCACGTCTTATCTTGGGATATTCTCAATTGCTATCGCCATTTCTATTAACTTAAGATATTTCCACTGACACAGGCTTTTCTGAATGATAACAAAACTATATACCTAGTAGGTAAATTATATACTTAGTTGTATTTTTTATTTTTGTGATTAGATTAAATCTGTCACTGTCTATCTTTATTTATTTTTTAGCTCGGTTAATGGTTTTTCGTCGATATATGTATATGGAGATTTTAATGCAAAGATCAATTTATTATATGCCAAATTATAAATAATAGATTATGTATATGTCGTTACGAACATCTAGCGAATTTATAATATGTCGCAGACACGGTGTTGTATCAGTAAGATTGATAACATCGACTTCGCGAATGGGAATATGTACATCCTAATGCAATACATAATATACAAACATAAATATATGTATAATTTATTTAGTTTGACAGAGTATTTTTATTGTTTCATAGTAATTTTGTTAAGCAAAAGGAATTGTTTATGTTTTAATTAATTTAAATCTTCTTTTCTGTTGTAGAGAGTTCCTATTGTTTTGTTTGCTCTTTAACATTTTTACATTATAATAGATCTGAGGTGTTTATCTTTGTAATACTTTTTATAGCGAACACAAAGCTCCAATGAACAAATAGTAGAACCCATTGTTGTTGTTTTATATGTCCCTGCAAGAGATCGGTGTATAAATTGTAACGATTCGATTCAGTGGACACAAGTTAGGTAGAGGCCTGCCGGCGCACTCGTCCGACCCTCAGGTACAAGTTTCCAGTATTATTTGAATTAGAAACATCCTACCACCTTATTTGTGACTCCAACCAAAGTAGGTGAGTGCGTAAATATCATATTGTGTAGCGCTAAATATTTAAGTATATATTTACTATGTAGTAGTTAGTTTTCGTCATTTCTTATTGTAATTTAAATATTAGTAGATTAGGAAATTTTAATGGAATATAGTCAAATCCTGAGGGGTGAGGTGTATCGTTTTTGACGCCATGTACAAAAGTGTACAAATTGATTTCAGATGCCATAGATTTTATTTAATTGAATGAATATAATACGTTAGTTATTTTATTGTGGAATATAAATGTACTGCTTTCTAATTTCACTGGTTAACTAAGTGCAGACATGTTCTGTGTGAGCACATTTATACATGTCGGCCTTCGCTTCGCTGCTTATTGTAACTCCATAGTATTCGTTAACTATTGGTTTGTTTACTTGTTTGGTTCACCTAGCTAATACATTCCCACTTGTGGTTGACATTGTATTTATTTATTTTGTTTGAGAGAATATTACGGTCCGCCCGTCGATTTTGTTATAATTACATTCTTACTCAAAGTGCCTATTTCCTACAACATTGACCTGGACATTATTTCGTATTACACTCTCACTAACAATTATAATATTAATCTCGTGTTTTAACTTAACTGCCTTTTTCTATGTGAAATTGTGAAATGTGTTGTGAGATATGTGTATTTAGTGCATCAAACATAACAGTCATTCAATACACCGACATAACATTGAGACCAGTCTGCTACTAGTACTACGATAGAACATCAAAATATTTAACGTTCACAGCACCTCCGTCACTTATCTGTGAAGCTTGAAAATTGCGAACGATAAATATTTTTTTAAATCAAAACAAACTTAGTTTCTTTATAAAATGTTGACTTGTAACTATAATATACTATACTGCATACTGATTCCACTGTTTATCCTTAAGCACCGGTTAATTTGATGAGTGTGGTGTTCGGTTGGTTTCCTATATCGATATCGTGTACATGGTTTGATATTGCTGTGTATAACGTTGTGTTTGTTACATTGTACAGGTGAGGTGCGTCACGTGTCATCACCACATAATATGTCTGTGTGTCCCCGTGTAATGAACCCAGTAGATTATATTATCGTGCAATAATAACTAATAACTGTCATTATCTATGTCGTTTACATCAATATCATGTGTTAAATTTTGTCTGTGTGAAATTTATTTATAGAATTTAATAAAATAGAATAAGATACATGTATCGCTCTTAATACTGATGTTTAAGAATATTCACCATCGATTCGGTAGGAAACGCTAATCAAATTACACTTGTATATTCAGTTTTTTATTGAAAATTTATCGACACGCAACCTTAGCATTAAATAGAAGCACAAATGTCAAAAATGCGTGATTCGATGGGAGGTTTTCATTCTGTTGTCTTCCATGGGACGCACAGAGCCGTAACTCAAACATCCCAACGCATCATTTGAAGCGCTATAATATGCATTCTCTGCCATTACTGATGTAAAATTAAAATTCAATACGCTTAACCGTAGCGTAATTTTTTATAAATTATACTAGTCATTGGTGTCTAATGTAGATTTGTAACCTGACAGCACGTTGAAATGGAACATTCTCCATGTCTCACTCACTGTAGGTGTAAGTCGTCATACCTGATCCATACAAAGTGAAAGCATATCAGCGTCCTATTCTATGCACCACATGTGTACATCCGGTAGCCAGTTGAGAACTAGTACCGCTTTTCCCACGTCATGAGCTTACCCTGTACATTTATAAAAATTATGTATCGTAAAATGTTAGAAAACTGAATTATATTTGTTTGTAGATCTAAGTGTTGTTTATTTTCTATCCGAGCCCTCTCCTTAATTCCCGTGTCCTGAATCCCTATTTTTTCACTAGACAATTAAAATCGGTTATTTTAACATCCTGAACTGATCGCGACTTCTGCGCGATCAGTTCAGATAACCTATGTGGGTAGGTAGGGTGTAGGTTTAGCTATGTAACAATCAGGAAGTGAATTAAGCGAAATACATAGTTAAATATTTTTATTAGTTTTTTATAAATTATGATGATGCATTGTAACAGTTTCTTTAATGTAAACGAAATGCACTTTAACAATGTACTTAAATAAATGAAATTACAAAAATACAAATATAAAATTAGAATCACTACTACAACACTTAATTTTAACAATATTTATAAACTAGATCAACAAGTTCCACTTTTCGCAACCCTGTCAAAGCAGGTAAGTGAGGAATTTCTTTATATCTCAGAATTTCTTTCAATTGAGCAACTGTGTAATTTTCTATTGCATTATTTTCAAGTCTTTCCTTTAGTAATTCTTCATCAAAACCAACAGAAAGTTTTGCCCTTTTGCTTTCTGGCCCATCTCTTGATGATGCAGGTTTTTTGTTAAGAAGTCCAGAGGTGATTGTAAAAGGACCAAACACTTCATGAAATAAATCTTCTTGGAGTCCTTCAAACCTCTTTTCATCTGGTTTTGTCGTATCAATAAAGGGCTCTACATCTTCATCTTCCAGAGCAATTGCTTCTAAGGCATTATATAGTGATTGTGTTTTCGGATTTTGGAACATATCTGGTTTATAATCGAATTTTAATTGGTTCATAATATCCTTCATGATATCTTTATCTGTTTTTGATAGTTTTTCATCATCATCATCTTCAACAATTGGAATATTTCGTACATTTTCCATAAAGGGTATGCAAATGACATCAAATCCTAAATCCACATTTAGACCAAAAGGTCTTGAGGTGGGAGACAAAGCTACAATAAAAGGTCTGGCATTAACCCTAGTGCACAACACACATATTGCTACTGTATTCATTTCCATGCAAGCTTGGTGTAGGGCTTTAAATGCAACAACAGAACCTTCAATTATACTTTCATTAGGAAACAGAAAGTAACTTGATTTTAGGTACCATTTCTCTTTTTTCATAACACTGGCAGGTTTGAATCCAAGAAGTTTTAATGTAGGTGGTCCAAAAGGATTTCCAAGCATCTTTTTTTCTTCAGCAGTAAATTCTACATTTTCATCACCATACCGAAGGCTATAAAGCAATTCTGACTGAAGTACTGGTACTGGTCTTGATTCAGTTCTATCTTGTTCATCAACATCCATGTCCTCATCTATATTTGCAGCTTTGACTTTCATGGTTTTATTTACACTTGTCAGTACAGCATTGGTATCACTATCCAAATCAGATTTTTTCATTTGTGTATAACTCTTCAATAAATTGTATACTCCCACCCCAATAGCAAAGTCTTCTCCAATTTCAAAACTTAATCGAGCGATGGCTAAATTGCGATGTGACTCCAAGTACATCAACTGTTCTACTTCTGAGTGATTTGAAATGGGTTTAGGGATATCCACTTCATCCTCATTAGTGGCTTGTTTTAAAAAGTTTGTATAATAAGGATCTGCCTCATAATCAGATTTAGAAATGTTAATAAGATTTATTTGTATATTTGAATCTACCAAGTCAGCGACCCTTTTAAGTGATGGTTTTATATCTGTTGCCACTGGTGGAATATCAAGCCGCGACAGCATTATTACATTGCGAGTCGAAAGCTGTTTTTTACAGCTGGCAAATGATTTGTTACAGTACCAAAGAACATCTGATATCATCATATCTTTGGCTTCTTTTAATGAAGAAATATCGATATCTCTTAGTTTCTTATAAGTATCTAAACTCGGTGATGATAATGGAAATATTTCTTCGACTGTTTGAATGCCTAGGACTGAAGTATTGGATCCTACAGTGCCGTATACGCAAACACCGACAAGTTGAGACCTGGCATTTCTCAAGTATTGACGTATCAATCTGCAAGTAGCTGTATGAGCCACTTGTGCTGAGTACTTTTTACAAGGGCCGTGGATATTTATACATATGAGAGTAGCAGGAATACCTTTTACAGATGATACTTGTTCAGTTTCGTCGTCCGAACTCATCTTGATAATGTTATTGGCACAAGGGTCTGGTTTATTGTTAATTGAACACTAATAATTTGTTTTAATCAAAATGCTTAGCTTTCTTGTGTTTGTGGTCTTAATCACTGAGTACTCAGAGATACGACGCGACGGTTCAAATATAATACAGATAATGATAACTCGAACATGTATCAACAAGTTTCAAAATCAAATTCGAAATGTTGTTTTGACAAATTGACAGGACTTCATGTTATGACATTAAGAACTTTGACGTTTGTTTTGTTACGTTCAGCAATAAGGAGATACCTGAGAATCCTTTATTATTTTGGAATAATAAATAAGTCATTTTCTTCTTAATTTATTGTAAATTAAATTCCAACCAACTGATAAAACTGACTATAATTTTGCCAATGATAAGGTCAATGATTGCCATCATTTCAGTGAAACTTACATCTAGTAAGAAACTACCTTCAAATTGAAATTAAAAAACATTTTTTTATTTATATCTTTATTTCATTACACAATATCAGGAATGAACACTGCATACAAATAGAAAGTCCGTATATAATTAGGGACACACACACAATAATAATTGGACCTCTATATAGGTTCCGGCTCCCTACTATATACTTGCATTATTTTTTCCATTATCTCCCAATTCTTCTCCTTTTGCAAATCTTTGGTAAATACCTGAAAACAAAAGTATGAGTATGAATGTAAAGTATAAAATTTTGGGTAGTATTTATTATTTACTTCACCATAAAAATGGAACAATCTTTCAACACTGATTATGAAAATAATTGAAAATTATGTAATATCCTTAAACACAATTTAAACTTAAGACTTGTTTAATAAAGTGCTACTTACCGAATACCATGCTGCATCATCATCTAATGTTGAAGCCAATGGTACCGACACACCCAAGACATGGAGTGCTAGAGTTAAACATGCAACAGCCACATGAGGAGCTCTGTAGTCTAGAATAGATGGGGAGTGATGGAAGTCTTGCAAGAATGCCATAGCAGTGCGAGCAATGGGGGCAGAGCGCCACTGTGACGGTGGGAACCATTCCTGCAGAGTGCGCAAGTAGTGAAGGAGATATCTGTGCGGAGACGGCGTGTCCAAATTGAAGCCAAGTAGTCGCAGCACTAGTAGCTCTGCCTGAGCGACAGCACCCCGCCACGACCAGTACTCGTCGCCCAATTCCAAGGGCCCCGCACCACGGTTGATCGAGTTATGTGCAACATTCACTGCATCTCTCAGTCTCACAGGTTCATCTCGTGACTTCCCCGCCGCACACAAACAAGCAGTACAAATCACGTAGCAATCATAATCGTTTTTATCAGCTTCCTTAAAGAATTTATGGTAAAATATAGCAGCAGTAGCTACTGTCGCCGGTTGTAATCCAAGTTTTATTCCACACTCAAATATGAAATTAGTAGCTAAACTATGACTTGGAGCACTACGATAATCAGGTAATCGCCTTTCACGTCTACTACTCTGTAATGCCATCACATCTATTACGTCTTTCATAGTCTTTAAGAGTTAATTATATTGTTTTAGAAATGAAAATTAATCTTGTTTGTTTTCTTCCGTCGCTAACAACACAACATAAAGGTTAACTGTAGACAATAGATTTTTACTTCTACTTTGAATTTGTAATGTCATTTTTTTATTATCCATAGACAAACCAAGTGTACAGACCTACGACAGCCAAGCACCAAAAACGACAGTATTTATAAAAATAAATATTTTCTTACTGAACAGCAAAAGTTGCAAAAAGCCACTGGATACTGGATGCAGGTCGCTTCAGACCAAAAATCGAAAAAGTACTTAAACAATTAAAGGGAAAATTCTAACTAAACATTTGGAGGAACGATGGAGGGACCCATGTTCAGCAGAAGTGGACAATTTAATACATATTTTATTCTTTCCATTTTGTCAAATAACTGACATTCGGACCGTCTAAAATACAATAATACGTAGGTACGTTATACGAACAACACTTAAACATTATGTTATAGGTATGCGTGAGCTTGCTAGTAACATTAGCTAATAATTTTATTTGTAACGTATTCTAGTCTTTACTTACCTTTTTTTTGTGTAATAGGTCGGCAAACGAGCAGACGGATTACCTGATGGTAAGCAATCAGCACCGCCCATAGACACCCGCAACGGAGGAGTTACGAGTGCGTTGCCGACCTGGATTGAGAAGGATTGGGGGAGGGGAAGAATCCCCTAAGGCTACCCACTGACCGTATTGGGCCTTCGGTAACCTCACTCACATGGCGAAACACAACGCTGCGGTTGTTTCACGCCGGTTTTCTGTGAGGCCGTGGTATCACTCCGGTCGAGCCGACCCATTCGTGCCGAAGCAAGGCTCTCCCACACTTAAACCTATCTACTTATCTATTTTTATAAATCTGTAAGCTTTCTAATTTGAACAACCATCCATAATGTTTTGTTACAACATTTTCTAGTCCTAACAAAAAATACGCAGTTTCTTTCCCATATCGATGGGCCCTATGTATATGGCCCAAACTAACAATTTGGCTATTTTGACTTTTTTATACTTAACCTATAGATGTAATTAATTATGTGAGCAATTATAAATAAAGATTTCTGCATAGAAACACGATTTTTAGTACCGTATAAAGGCGTATGAAACATTCATTTAAACGTGCAAGGTCCTCAGAGTCGTTATAGACTTATACGTGGGGAGTTCCCCGCGTTTGTTTCATAGTCTGGGCCAAACAGGTTATTTGACACCTAAAACACCGACCACTCTGATTAATTCAAAATGTTTCCGGATTAATTGTTGTTTTTTAAATAAATTATCTAAAATATTACATTTTAGGATGAATGCCCTTTTTATTTAAAAAAAATACAGTTACTCCCTACCGCGTCAAATTAGTGCGTGGCGAAACAAGCTCCGGCGAGATCTCACGGCAGAATGAAAGAAACGTCTGTTGCATTGCAACCAGGGCGGGCACGCTGTTTTATCAGCAGTAAGATCCTTCTTTGAGGAGTGGCTTGGGAGACGTCGCGGTGTCTTCACCTTACGCCTGATGCAGGTGCTTACTGGGCACGGCAGCTTCGGTAGGTACCGGATCCGGCGGGATGAAACGTCCAAGCGTCGTCATTGGAAAGACGACCTAGAGGACACGGTGGAACATACTGTGGCGGTGTGCCCTGCTTGGGCTAAGCACAGCGCTCGGCGGCGGCGACCTCTAGGTCTCGGTCTTACTCGAGGCCATGGTGCGAAACAAGAGGAACTGGAAAGCCGTCTCCTCTTTCTGCGAAACAGTTATGCTCGCAAAGAAGAAGGCTGACCGCGTAAGGGAGCTATCCTCCTCCTCACACGACACTCTGGGCGTCGGGGATCGAGAGACGATCTGCGGCCACCGTAAGCGCGGGTCCGCGGATGGCGAATAACGGTAGCTCACCACCTGGCCAGAACTAGAACATACGGCGCATAGCGTTCTGCGCGCGCATCAAAGAGCCAATAGATCACCACAGACGGGGCCCAATAGGGCTAATGTTTAGCCGGGGTTGCGGGTAAGCGCAATGAGGCACCGCGACCTCGGCCCAGAGCAGGAGAAGGAACAGGGGGGCTCAGCACAGGCAGGTTGTGTTTCGCCGTGTGAGTGAGCTACCGTAGGTCTAATCCTTCCTCTCCACTATCCACGATTTTCAATTTCACTATGCTTAAATCTATACTAATATATACTATAATAGTGAAGAGTTAGCTATCGTTTCGTTGACGCATATACCTATTTTCTATTTTTTTATGAATTCAGGTGGCAAGTTCCGCAAACATTGAAATGACAATATCTTCTCGGTTTTCCAAAATAAATAATGCAAATAAGTACTGAGCGGCACTATTTATCTAATTGTAGAAACGTTATAAAAGTATTTGTTTTGGGACAAGTGTCTGTTTACCTCCGAAGAAGTACGCGATAGAAAAAAATATGAAAAGGCTATAGGTAATAGTTGAAAGTGTGGGAGAGCCATGCTTCCGTACGAAAGGGCCGGCTCGACCGGAGCGATTCCACGGCCTCATAGAAAACCGTCGTGAGGCAACAATTCGTTACCGGAGGCCGAATTTAATTCCCCACCTATCCTCAAATTCCCATCCTATAATAACCCATTAGAGGTCGACAACGCTCTTGAAGTAACTCCTACGGTATTGCGAGGGTCCATGGGCGGCGCTGATTGCATACCATCAAGTATTCCTTCTGCTCGTTTGCCGACCGACGAAAAAATCGTGATTTTTCAACCAGTCAAGGAATTATCTTCAAACTCCCAATATTTACCCTGATACGCGGTTTTGCTCCGATTCCCGATATCTCTATCTTAATCATAATTATACGTGTGTATCGCAAGTGTTTTGAGTGAGTTTCGGGGGGAGTGGCCATATTTAGAGGATACTTATATGGGTTGCAAATTAGGAATACGTGTTACGGGAAATAAATAAAACGAACATTTTATTTGAACATAAAAATTAGAATATAATCATTTTCAGTAATTATTTAAAATTATACACTTAAAGTACATTTATAGTAAATTCAATAAAAAATACCAGTGCAGACGAGATACAAATAAGAGAAAATATTGTTTATTACATCGTTGGTTAAATACATCGCTTTCAGTAAATGCAATACAAAACATAAGTCGGAAAACAATGAAATTATACTTGAATGTCACTCGATATAGAAAAATAAAGATAAGATTGAATCACATTCAAAAATTACCCACTAGTGACTAAAAATTTTACTTTCTTAAACGTTTGTTCAATAATCGGGATCGCTCGGCGCCGTACGGGCACAGTGGCGGGGCCGGGCTGCGCCCTCGGGCGAGCCGAGGAGTCGCCGAGCGATCCCTCGCACGCGCTACAAATAAATGTTTACATGTTCATCAATTCTAAATAAGATATTCAACATTGTACTCTGCTCAGTACATAGAGCACGACACTACACGCGCCGGGCCGCCGCCGGCGTGCTGCGCCGCGCCTCCAACCGCGAGTCCCGTACTATTTAGTTATCGAAGAACATACAGTAGGTATAAATAGTGAGGTTAGTATTAACTTTGGCAAATATGAATGAAGCATGGTGAATTGTTTTAGATGGACAACATCTCGACAATACTCAGCGTTAATATTAAAAATTATACTGAACGTCGCTCATTTCGCTAATACCAACAGTAGGATGTTGATACAGGTAGTCTTCGAATTATCTCATGCCACATCACAATTACAATTAGACGTATGCCTCAAACCCGATCACTAAACGCTACTCTCTTAAAAAAACTTTGCAATAACTTCCCCAGTTGTGGATCTAATAAAGCGCGAGAATATTTGAGCCGCAACAATTCAGTCTTCAAATAAGAAGCCAACGCACATCCACGTCCGAGCGCGCTGCGCGTCTGTACGTCTGTACCGAGTACTTGTGCGCACTGTTTGTGTTCAGACAAACATGTTACATGTGGCTTGTGCGATTCGTTCACTGTCTTATAAACTAAATGTGATTCGAGCGAATAAACAATGCGGCAGTGTACAAAATTTACATCACATTCACTCGAAATATAAGCATACAAGTTAAATGTTCTGCGGCGGAGGAACACATTCAAATGCAAACTGTCGAGAGCGGGCGAGGAGTGGCGAGGGCTGCGGGCGGCCATGTCTCCGCTATGGCACTACTCGGCCGCCTCGCTGCCTCGCGCGCCGAGGCCCAGCCATGCGTGGGCCTTCGTGTGAAGACATCGAATCATTATATCCACATCGTTCACTCATTAAAAAAACGTTTTAAATGTAACGTGAAGCTTACTTAAATGTAGGTTGAATGTAGAACTGCGCTAATATTATTTTTATTAGTTTACGTACACATATTGTTACATAACAGTAAAAAACCTACCTAGCAACAAGCGAGCGGCGGACGCTCGAGCCGCGGGCCACTACCATTCGTTCACGATCCGGACATCTGGAAATTATCTAACAAACTATTTATCAATTGGAAAACAAGGGTTGCGAGCTTTGATTTAGAATCACGTCGTCACATCGTCACTGGTTGAATGAATCAGTTTGGACAGCGAGTGAGTGAGTGAGTAGTGGCGGGAACAGTGAACATTAACAATATCTTTGGTCTTCAGCTCGCAGCAAGTGGCTGGTGAATGGCCCGCGCGGTCACAGTGTAGGCGTACATTTTCATTTAATCACTTTTTACATACTCATAAACGTAAAATGAAAATAAATCACCTAACTATGACAATAGTAAAGGTTACTGTCTAATTGCATTATTAATTAATGTTTATTGATACAGTTACTGTCCTAATGCTTAAAAGTAAGATTTTTATTTTATTATTAATAATAAATTATGTTATATAGTATATATAGTGTTTGATTACGCCAATTCGCGAGTGTATACAAAGTTTATATACTCACATATCTTACACGAACAGAGTCGGGACACTAGAGGCCGAGGCAGTGGGGCACAATGGCGATATATGTGCCGACCTGGTACCTCGGCCCACCTCAACGTACATCGTACCACTAGCTGTAAATACACGTACATAACTGCTTAGGTATTATATAAATGACACGCCGCGCTAGCTTCCTTACCATTACAGACTCCAGCCACTTCACAAAATAATGACGAAGGTTAACATGATCATAAACATTGGTTA